GGGGGGGCGGCCGTTGTGACCGTTTAACGGCCCGTTCCCGGTGGAATTGTCTCCCCTGCCGGGCTCTTTGTCGGCTGCGGGAGGAGCCCGTCTCTCTCTGCCGCGGGAGGGGGGGCAGCGAGCCGAGCTGGGGGGGAAAAGTGCTGCTGGCATCGGCCCCGGGCGGCCGCCGCCGCTCCGCGGGGTCCGACCCGGAGCTTCGTCCCGCGTCAGGCGGGGTTTCCCCGCACGGCTGGACCCGGCTGAGAAGACTGTTCACCGCAGAAACCCGCAAACGGGGAGGGGGGGCTCCCCCCCGCCTGGGCTCAGGTGACTGCCCCGGGCGCAGGTTGTCCTGCGGGGGAGCGGAGCGGTGCGGTGGGAGCCGGGGCTGAGGAGGAGGGTCCGGGGCGGGGGGGGTTCCCCGGGCACCTCCCGGCTTTTTGGAGAAGCTGTCGTCCGCTCCGTGTCCCCCGCCCGGGGTTTGGGGTGGCTCGGACAGCAGCGGGAATGCCGAGGGTCGCTGCCGGGCCCGTGGTGGCGTGAGCCCTGAGGAGAACCGGGAGCCCCGGCGCAGGGAAACCCACTAAAAAGCCCATCGCTGGAAGCCCCGTTAGGGGAAAAGTGTGCGGGAACGGTTTTCCCCCGCGTTTCCAGGCCTTGGAGGGTGTGAGGAGCAATTAGAAAAAGACAATGTTATTGTTTTGCAGTATTACCAGGTGCCCCCGAATCACAGAGTTGCTAAGCAGGGATTATACTGCAGGATTATGGGGGGGCAGGTGTTACTGTCTCGATTTCTGCAATCTGCTTGTTCGGTGACTCGTACCGTGTACTTTGCCTGCTCTCCCATATTTATTGTTGAAGGTGACTTTTGTCCCAGCCACAGCAGCTCTTAACTGCTCTCCTATTCCCTTTTTTGTCCATTGGCTGCATTTGGTCTGCACCCTTTCGCCTCTCTTCTTTTCCTTCCCCTGCATGCCAGTCTTTGCTCTTTTTTGCTGCTTCTGGTTTTAAGTTCTTCAACCCCTCTGGGGCTAGAGGTGCATCTGGGATAGCTTTTTTTCCCAGGCTGGGAAAAACTGTTATAGTGGCTCTTCATTCCTTGTTCTCCTTCCCCCCACACCCCCCCGGCATTGCTGGAGGGAGGAGCAGAATAATATCCTGTTGCTTACCACAAGCAAAAAGAGTGGCTAAACCTCTTCTGCAGCTCTCCTTCATGTCTTTGAGAATCTTTTGTCCTCTGAGGAGAGCTGTAGAGAACTTGCCAGCTTTCCTGCACGGATCGTGCTTCAGCAGGCACTAATCAGGGGTCCTGTTTGCAGCAAAGCATCCCTTGTTGTGCTGTTGCTGGCTTTAGCTACAAACAGGCTACTGTCACTCATAAACAATTGCAAGATTTGGCAGCATGGGCTGCTCTTTTCTGGAAACAGAAATGAAGTCACGGGGACAGTGATATCTACCAGGGAGTTGCTAAAAGGGCTGGACTTTCAAACAGGCCAGTGTAGATAAATAGTGTAGAAAGTTGCAGAATGCATTGAACTGTGGGAACATACACTAGAATATGTTCACAGTCTTTTAAATAATTTAAAAATAATATTCCGTGTAAAATATTTGTGAAATAAACTCGAATTTTAATTCCCTAGGTCTCTGCTATGGATAAAGTTTAAGGAGAAAATAATAGCACTCTGTTGAGAATTTTAATACCTTTATGAGAAAAAAAAAGCATAGATCAGTTGATAGTGATATGGTTTCTCAAATATCTTGTCTCAATGTTACTTCAGGAACTGTCATAGTTCTGGTAATGGTGGAGCGAACTGCTGTATTTTGGGCTTGTTTTGGTGTGTAGGGTTGAAATAAGACAATAAAGAACAAAAAGATAATAGAGAGGAAGAGGACAAAAAAAAAGTCCTGGGGGAAACGAAAGGTCTGGAAAGTGGTACAACGTTTGTGTGCTGAATGGCATGGTGAGGACTGGCAGAGACAATTAGAAAAGCTGGAAGCAAATTACAGTGAGAGTCTGCTCTGGTCAGTGGGAAGATTGTAACTGGGATGAAGGTGAGGTTGGACTGGTAATCCAGTGCAGTTCAGTTTGCTTAATACCACCTTTCCCTCCCAGGCCATTTTGGAATTTCAGAATGGGCCTGGACATCGCTTAGATGGGCATAAACTGAAAATGTTTTGAATATGGGCAGTAACGTTGCTGGATACCATCTGACCATCTGTTCAGTTGGCCTCAACCTGACTATAAATAATCCCTTTTATTTGTTTCCTGGTTTGGTGTTTGTTTTGCTGGTTCTGTGCTGTATGCTGTGGGATTACTTAAAGGACCAGTTTGCAATAAGTGTTCTTGAATAAATGCTGTACAGCCCCCTGTCTACAGTATAATTAAACTGATTTGCACTCAGATTGTTTAGCAGAGCAGTTGAGATAAGAATGATCTTCACATGACTCAAGCACAGTTCTTCAGTGTGCTCAGGGGAGCGAGCATGTCGTGTTTGCTGTGCAATGTCAATGTGAATTACAGACATTTAAAAATATTTTGAATATCTTCTTTGTAAATTCACTATAAAGCCATCCTGTTGCAATAGGCTGGCATTTGAACAAGATACATACAAGAAGATAAGGTGATATGAAAGATGAGCAATGAGTGTCAGCCTTCACTGGTGCTCATCAGAGAGGTGTCCTCAGGAAAGACCGGCACTTTTGCCAGACAAGCTCTAAAATTTTCCTGGCAGGCATAAAGTTTCTGTCTGAAAGTTTATACTAAGCCTGCAGACTTCATGCAGCTATTGTAATTTGAGATGTGTCATATTTTTATTGTGTTGCTGTGTTAACTCGGAAACCTGAGAGTGATGATGTGATGTTGCCTTGAATTTTCACAATGTTGAAAATCATACGGTGTGCTAGAAAGCAGGGCTCTCTTGTAGTGTTGCCTGTTATATTTTTATGGCATGTCAGTGGCTGGAACAGTATGCAGCATACTGGGAACATCACTCCTGTGTTCCTTTCTCAGTCCAACTTTGAAGGGCCAGTTGTACACTTTTCCAGTGTTGTTCTTACCTTTATGAATATTCTTTGTCCTGGGGAAGTGAAGTGTGTTAATTTGGTTACTTTTCTGTTTTTCAGCTAGTGGAAGTGTTAAAGATACCTTTGTTGGAGCAAGAAATGGACAATACAGGCTTTTAAAAATAGTCATTCACAATGGTTAGTCAATTTTTTTTTTTCTCTGATTCTTTTAGATATTTTCCTAGTTGTTTTAGTGACCTACATGTACAATTGTTTGAAAAACAAAACTCTGGAAAACTTAATGTTACTAAGCTCTTTCAAATACAGCAGGTAAGATTTAAGTTTTGGTGATGCTAAGCTTTTCAATACAATACTGCTGGGGTTTTAGGTTTGAATTTTTCTTCCAAATATAATCTCATATTTTACCAAGAACTGCTGTGGATTTCATATGCACAATATAAATGAGTTTACTCTTACCTTCTTACTAAAGAAAGAGTAGAAGAAAAAAAGGTTCCACACCTGTGTAGTGTTCTGGCACTTTGGTTACTTTCATTAGACAGAGATCCTTACACAGCAGCTAGTAACTTTAGATGAAGTATAAGTATTATCTGCTTTCTATGCTACGATCACCTGCATGTAGAAAGTCCTATTGAAGCAGATGTTTAGGTAGTAATCAGGCTACATAGAAAATGTCTTTTAAAATCTGTAGCTTTGTACACATTTTTGAAGCTAAAAATGTTCCTTAAATCTCACATATGTATGTAAATATAAAATTACATAATTTCTTGCTGAGCTTGAGTTTGATCTTTGAACTCATTGAAAAATGATCAAGGCTGCAAACATTGCAAGATAGAATGAATAATTACTTTTTTTTTTTTTTTAATAGCAATGCTGGTTGACTGTATAAGACATTTTGTGGTTTAGTCCATCTTTTCAAGTATGTCAAATGCCCACTTTGGGTTTTTTGCTTTCTAGAGTTCATTCATTTACAGTACACTGAAATACCTGTTAGCTGGAGGAAGGTGCATTTATGTACATACACATACATACTTTTATTGTTATTTAAATAACCTACTGTTACCTTCTTTGTGTTTGCTTTTATAAGGAAGTCTTCTGACATTTTAATATTGCTTTCCTTTAGGAAGTAGCAATAGTAATATTATAGGCAGGTCACTGTAGTAAAGTCTCACTAGCACAAGGTAGCAAATGCTGGCATACCATTGAATTTACGTTTTCTTTTCCCATTAGGTAAGGTAAAACAATGTGCTTTTGTGTGTATGCTACTTTTTAATATGAAATGAAGCCTAGAAATAAGACACAAATGGAAGACGTTCCCTATTTTTTTTTCCTTTTTGTGTGTATGTGTTTGTGTGTGTGTGTATGTATATCTCTATATATAATATATGCACTTTGACTCTATGTAGAAGCAGAATCCAGTCTTTGATACTATTTCCCATAGTTCTAAAAGAAGCCTCTAAAAATCCCAGAATACTGGAAGAGGGACAGTTGCCTCATCTGTCTACAGGTGCTTTCAGCAACTGCCCTTGATCAATAGAGAGTAGTCAAATTGAGTTCTGCTAATCCGAGTTAGTAAGACAGGAGGTTTGCTGCTGGGCAATAAAGTTTCTCTGATTGTATATTTCTGTCTTAAATCCAAGTGAGTTTAAAGCCACCTAGAGTTCAGAATTAGCAAGTACCTTCTGAATACTCAGGTGAACAGTTTCAGCTGCTTAGCATCTAATTCAGAAAAGGGCCAAACACCCTCTCCCTGAGCTGTTCATGTTCTGTGACTTACTGTGGTAGAGTGCCTTGCTCTGAAACTTCTGCTGTAGAGGCACTTGTATACTGTTGTACTTTTGTCTGAAGTTTTAGAAGTTAGGTCCTAGACTCTCAAAAGATATTTTGTATACAAGCTACTATGATGGTCCTCAAGTTGTTGTAGGTCGCATTTAAACAAGGTATTTCTGGTTCGATTGTGGGGACTAGTAAAGAAAGACACTATACTAATCCTTTCCTTTGGAAGCTGAGCTGTGATTTATAAATGAGAGAAGAATCTTGTTGCTACAGCTGTTCACATATTTAAATCTCAACTGAAGTATTCTATACAGCCTTAAGCCAATTATACATAATAAACAACTTCAGTCATTTAAAGACACCATAGCTACGAAGCGGCATTAGAAAGAGGTTTATCGACTTACATAGTCGAGTTAAAGTGATTAGTGCAAGCATATTCATTCCAAACTCTTTTCACTGTATAACTGAATTATTGACCCCTTACAATGAGTACAATCACTAATATGTTATAGCAAGAGCATCATTAATTCTAGCATTTGAAAGCTTCCTCTCATCTCGTTTCCACTTAAGTATTCCAATTTAAAAATAAACTAACTGGCAGAAGACAGGTTTTATTTTCCTTCTGTGTACATTATGCTAAAAACACTAACATCAGTCTTATCCCTTCAGATCAAAGAACTTGATGGCAACCAGAACATTATTTCTCATCTATTTGTATTTGGGTTAAAGTAAGTTAGAGTTTGAACATACACAGTTTTCGTAGGAATTCGCCTGCTTGCCCACTGACTGTTCTTGACTTCCATTCTTATCAAGTATCTGATCACGAAAGATGAAGTATCTAATTAACTATTTATTGTAATTGCAAATTTTAAAAAACTGTATTAACTGTATAGTTGCTAACCTGTAGCTTTGGTTCTTGGCTACAGAGCAGCTTATTGTGGGATCGTCTAGGCAGCCAGTTGGATCATGGGAAAAGGATTATGATGCTTTTATCCTTCCCCTTCTTGAAGACAAGCAACCATGTTATATATTATACAGACTAGATTCTCAGAATGCTCAAGGATATGAATGGATCTTCATTGCGTGGTCACCTGATCACTCTCCAGTAAGTAACAGTCATCAGAGTCTTCATGCTGTTTATGATTTTTCAACAGTGCCATTTGATCTGAATCCTAGATAGGAATGAGGAATGAAGCGTTCCCTAACCTTCCCCTCACTTTCCCCCAAGAAAACTGGGGAAACAATTCTTTAGGCTGATTGAGGAGCAGTATCAGTGGGTCTGGGTGGAGTGCAGCTGATCCAATTTATTTCTACCCTGACTGGAGGAGGCAAGATAATGTTTTTGCCCTGTTTGTCTGTCTGTCTGTCATTGTTTCATGAAAATCTGTGGAAGGATATAGGACAGAAATCTCAATAGGTGTTATCATGGAGAGAAGGATTATAGTGTGAGCTCAAGCTGTTTATTCTGTGCGGCTTGCTGGCTGCCCAGCTGGCATTCGTGGATCTGTGACCTGTCACAGAATGTACTGTTTGTCATTCACTAGTCAGAGAACACGGGAGGGAACTGTTTAGAGTTAAGGATTTCTAGGAGACATTAGGATGCTGTGTACAGGTTCTGTAAACGTGAGATAAGGGAAGACAGAAAGTAAAGCTATTCACACATTCCTACTATTTTCACTGGCAGTTAGGAAATAATAAGAGACCAAGAGTTGGAGTGCATAGAAGAGATTAGGTGGAAAAGGTGAGGTATTGTGGTGAGGATCACATGATGGTGAGAAGATGGGACTGTTGAGAGAGGAATAAGTGACTGTGTTAGACACAAGCTGATAGGGAGCAAACATCATTAGATCTGCCCCTGGAAAATTTCATTTTTCTACTCTGTAGTTGAACTAAAACTCTCTGGAGTCATTATCAAATAAAAATAATAATGCATTATTTGCAGTCTGCTCTTTCTCTATCTGTTTTATCCATTACTACACAGACCATTGACAAAAGATCTAAACAGTTGTGGGTTTTCCCATTTAAAATTAGTAAAGATTATGTTGACCTATTTTTTTTTTCCAGTTAAAAAAAACTCATGCCCTTACTTACGCTGCAGTTTTATTTTGGAACTACTTTGATAATAATGCGTAGTATCATACCCTTGAGAATTTAATCATTTGTGTTAGTATCATGATCCTGAGCTCATTCCATGGAGTTTATTCTTTATTAAGAATTATATTTTCAAAATGCAGTTTCAACACTTACAATGTTTGTTCAAGAAAGTTGTTATGGACTTGGTACACCAATGTGCTAGATTCTCTGTGTACACCAAAAAACCACAAACAACCCAAACCAAAACAACACTGTTTTGTGATGTACTAGGTTCGTCAAAAAATGTTGTATGCAGCAACCCGAGCAACACTTAAGAAAGAATTTGGAGGTGGTCATATTAAGGATGAAGTATTTGGAACTGTACAGGTATGTTTTTCTTTTTAAAGTCAGCACACTCACTTTAAATACTAAATATAGTAGCTAATGTTACTGGCATGAATTTGTAGTGTTTCTGCTATTTTTTGATTAAGAAAAATAGAGTTAAAAGCTATGTGTATTATGCAGATGTTAACATGTAATTGCTCTCATTTGAACAAGTATATTTAGCAATTTCAGAGGGAGCTGGTTCTGAAGGAAGGAAAGGAGCTTGAGATTTGGGGAAGAATGGATGATATTGTAGGGGGGAAAAACTGTGGAAGAGACATGGGCTGGTATGGTGGACAGGGAAGTCCATAAGGACATGAGGCTAATAATTCTGCTGTTCACCGACTAAATAATTCCTTATATCCAGCATTAATCTGTGATGGAAGCTTCATTATCCTAACAAACATGCTAACAAAGCTCTGGATAGGCTGCATTTTAGAGAAGTAGATAACTGAGTGGCTAAGAGGGTTTACTGGTAGAGGTCATGTTATTTTTTTCTTGCCTGTCGATCAATTAATCTCTCACTGCCAATTGCACCAAACTATTAGAAGTCTATGTAATATGTAGAATTTGTGCTCTGAGTTGTAGGGCTAGACACAAGTCTGAGCTCCTGTCTCGACTTTAAGGAAGGAGCATTGCATTTATCTATTACTGTTATTTCAGAATGTGTTTGGTGCACTTAGAGTATGAAGTCAGTGTAACTCACTTTCTCTAAGTTCATTCTGTTACAGCTTAATATATCTCAAAATTGTTGGTTTTAGTGTCTTTATAAGCTTCTTAATTGTAGCTGGCCTCTAATGTTCATCTGTGTGAAAAGCTTCTTCAGCTTCTTCAAAGTATTCAAGTCATAAACCTTACTCAGAATTTTGATCGTCAGTATCCAGTGCGTTACTCTGTTTTCGTTAGACATAAGTATGGTTCAGTAGCAACCAGCTGGTAGAACCTGGCTGTGGTCCCATCTGCTACTTTACATTTATGAACCTCGATACCTCTGGGCTCCTGAAACAAGACGTAATGGAATATTGGCACTGGAAGTTGCATTTGGGAAGGTCTGTCTCTTTCAGAAAGGGAAGAGCTGAGAAGGAGCTTTCTCTTTCTCCTCAGAACTTGAGTATAAGATCACATTCATATGATTCCATAAAGTTCTGCCCATTTCTGAGTGACCACCTTAATTATAAAAACACAACAGTGTTTGCCTCTGGTACCAACCTCTTTGGAGAGGGCCAGAACTGACACTGAATATTAACAGATTTCCCAAAGTGGTTATCAGCATTCATCACTTCTGTGACATTGCATCCAAAACTCTTTGTAGTATTGTGCTTATTCCCTGTCCTAAGGCAGCATTTCTGTCTCCCAGTTTTTAGGTAGAAAACTAACAGGAAGCTACTAGTCTGAGCATGCAAATTTTATAAGAAAATGTATTATTCTTTTATTTATTAGAATTGTGGCAATTCTGTGAGGTTTTGTCCAAGAAGACTGAATAACTTCATGCACACAGTCTTCATTAGTGCTAATTTTTGAATTAGCAAGGTAATGAGCGACTGATTGCAGAAATGCTGCTCACTATGCAATTGGGCACAAGAGCAGCCAGTGGACCCCACTGTACAGGAAGATGAGCTGAATTTGCAAATGCACCTACACTTGTAGTCCATTCAAATAAAATGACCATAACTGTATGGAAGTAACTGTTTGGTTTTTTATGCTGCATAGAGCTTATATGAAGAAAACTTTTATTATAAAAAATGATCAATGTTGATATTGTGCTTTCAGGATGATGTTTCACTGAATGGATATAAAAAGTATTTGATATCGCAGTCCTCCCCTGCACCTCTGACTGCAGCAGAAGAAGAACTTCGACAAATCAAGATTAATGAGGTACCTACAATGTCTTGAGCATGGGTGGGAAACTCGGTGCAGAATTCCAAACACGTTGTAGGAAAAGTATTTCTAGGGTAAAAAAGGGCAGAACAGAAAATTGAAATCTTCAGAAAGTCTTGAGTGGATGAGAATATAAATTTGTCTCTCAATGAGTTGAAATTGCATGACGATGATGGCTGGAGTTGAGGTGGTATGATCTTGCTGAGTTTGCAAGGTCTAACATTCAAGCCAGGAGACTTGCAGCAACGGAGTTTAATTGTTGCAGCTTTGGCCCTTAACAAGCTTTTAGTATCACTAGATGTGCTTCATTGTGAAGGGTGACCCAGTGCTGGCACAGGTTGCCCAGAGAGGTTGTGGAGTCTCCATCCTTGGAGATATTCAAAAGCCACCTGGGCAGAGACCTGGGCAACTGCTTCTAGGTGGCCCTGATTGAGCAGGGTGGTAGGACAAGATGACCTCTGGAGGTGCCTTCCAACCTCAAGCGTTCTGTGATTGCCTACATGCACTTCTCATGGTGGCAGAAATTGTAGGCAAAACACAAAATATCAACTGTTGCAGTGAATTGTCGCCAGGAGTATTTCAGCAGCCTTATCCCTAGAGGAAACCCACTGGGCTTCCAGCACCAGGGCACTTGCCTTTAAGACTGAGGGAGTGAATGGAATTCCAATAAAGATAAAATAGAAACCCAAAACAAGTAACTAGTCCTTTTAAGAGACTGATTTGCTTTTGCTACAAACACTTTATAGAAAAACCTCTAACAAATGCCTTTAACCAAATAATTTGAGGATTGCCAGCTAGCTATTGACTGAAAAGGATTAATTTCTCACATTTTTCCTTCACTTGATCACTCTTTGTGTTCAGAGATACATTAAAATAGGTCATATGCTGATCTTAGTTCTTTAGGCATGTATTTTACAGTCATGGTACATGTGTTTGAAATACAGTTTGTTTCTGCAGCCGGATGTCAGGAAACCATCGTGCTAAATGTAGCTCTGTATCTTCTCTAATGTTTTCACTCTACCATGCAGTTGCTGCAATTTTCTTGTTTATTGACTTTTTTTTTTCAGTGGCATCTTTTGTTATTTTCCATGTCTTAATTTTGATTAATTGAATGCAGAAATGCACTCGTCATTATCAAACACTGCATTGTGCTTGAACAGCTTTAAAAGGAAGCCCGCTAATGAATGTAAAACTTCTGTGGTACTGATGATCATTTCTGGCTATTAGTATTGTCTCTTATGCACTACATACGTTGTGTGTAACAGCTGATTCATGCAGACTAAAACCTTACATGCTATTATGAAACTTCAGCAGCATTAGCTGTGCTTTTTAGAGATACATAAACTGTAGATTGCTGTCATTTTGGCTTGCTTTGAAGCATCTTGCAATACATTAATTTACATCATTTCTGTCTTCATTGTTTCCACCATTATGAAGCCTAGAATTAGCCTCAGAAAACTAAAAGCTTTCTGATTTAAAAACAAGAAATATATACTTAGTTTTCCATATGTGTATTTTTTCATAATTGCATAAGACATATTTTATAATTTCATAAGAAATATTTTACTGGGTCAGATCAAAGGATTGCCTTGTCTGCTGTCAAGACCCTGATTGAACAGCAGAAATCTAGGAAGCATGTAAGAGCAGGGCAAGATGGCCATAATTCCCTTGAATACTCTTCTGTTGCCACAATGTTTGCAGGTAGGGATCGTCCCGAGCAAGAGATGATATCTTACTATGTAGTTGTTCTCAATCAGTTTTTTGTCTATCATCTAGTCTTGTCATTTTTCTAAAGCCACATAACACTTTTGTTAGCCACAGATCCTATGGCAGTGTATTCCACAGCTTGACAAAGTACTATGTAAAGAACCATTGCCAACTAATTTATTCTGATATTCCTACAGATTGTGTGGAGAAGGCAGACAAAAGTTATTAAGTCATTCCTTGTTTTCCCTCTCCCCCTTTGACAAAGCCAGCCATATCCCAGAAAGCCAAGCATACCTTGGGCTACATAGAAAGGAGTGTGGCCAGCAGGTCAAGGGGGGTGATTCTGCCCCTCTACTCCACTCTGGTGAGACCCCACCTGGAGTACTGTGTCCAGCTCTGGAGCCCTCAGCACAGAAAAGCCATGGACCTGTTGGAGTAGGTCCAGAAGAGGGCCACAGAAATGATCAGAGGGATGGAACACATCTCCTGTGAGGAGAGGCTGAGAGAGTTGGGGTTGTTCAGCCTGGAGAAGAGAAGGCTCCTTGCTGCCTTTCAGTACTTAAAGGGGGCTTGTAAGAAAGATGGGGACAGACTTTTTAAGAGGACCTGCTGAGATAGGACAAGGGGTAATGGCTTTGAACTAAAAGAGGGAAGATTCACACTAGATCTAAGGAAGAAACCTTCTGCCATGAGGGTGGGGAAACACTGGAACACGTTTCCCAGAGAGCTGATAGATGCCCCATCCCTGCAAACATTCTAGGTCAGGTTGGAAGGGGCCCTGAGCAACCTGATCTAGTTGAAGATGTCCCTCCTCACTGCAGGGGGCTTGGACTAGGTGACCTGTAAAGGTCCCTTCCAACCCAAACCATTATGTGATCATGGGCCTTTATTGTATTCCTTATCAGTTACCTCTTCCTAGCTGAAGGTAGTTCTAGGTAGTCCTTCCTCCTAAAGAAGGCACTCCATATTTCTGATCCTTTTGCTTTTCTCTGCAGTTTTTCCGGTTCTGCTATGTAATTTATGAGATGGAGGGATGGGGAAGACAGAACTGCATGTGGTATTCAAGATGCAGGCATGTTACTGATATCTACAGTGCGTAATGATGTGTTCTGTACTTTCTATTTTCTTCTCTTTTTCTAACAATTGATAACATTTCAAACTTGGGTGGGGAGTGTTGGGGTTTTTTAGTGGGTGTTTGGTTTTTTTTTTGGAGGTTTTTTTTGCAAAGACTGGCCACTGGGCTTATATTTTCAGAGCTATTCAGTGTGACCTACAAGGTCCTCCTGCATGGTAGTAGCTAGCTCAACCCCATCATCATACAGGTAGAAGAGAGGGGTTTTTTTTTCCTACTGCATATATTACTTTACATTTATTCATAGGAAATTTCACCTGCCATTTCATCCACCACTCCACTCAGTGGCCATCACTGAGAAATCTTATGGTGTGAATTTAAATATTGTCAGTGACTTAGGTGTTTTAGTTTTGCTTCAATGGTCTGAAATATGTTGTAGTATGGACAAGTAGATTTTGTTCATTGTCTTAATGTGGAGTTATGTTGGGTTACTCTCTTCCCTTGCCTGTCCCCACACTTCACAGCTTGATTTTATGTTTTTTGGGTTTGGTTTTTTTTTATTTGTATTTTAATACAGTTTATATGGTATGGCATATTATGATGATTTCTTATGTTTGTGATGCCAATTTTTATGTTTACTCATCAGACTTTTACACAGATATATTTTGCAAATATTTTTATATAACCTTTTTCATAAATGTAGCAATGTTTATACATAAGTAAACTCTTTACCTCTTTCTTCTCCTCTTTCCATGTTACAGACAAGCTGTTCCTTAAAATATGGAGTATAATTCAGTGTTGCCCCAAGTATCTTTTGTTTTTATTTTTTTATCAGTTTGTTTCATATTTCATTAGCATACCTTTTTAATTAAAGCTGAACATCTTCCAGTTGATACATATAAGACCCATGCTTTCCATTTTCTACACTTTTCTGACTTTTGCTGCTTCATCACCAATGTTACATGTATTTGTGAAACTATAAAGTCAATATATTCAAAAGCTAATACTTAGACAATAAGTTCAGTCTTGAGAAAACTGGAGGCCAGAGCTCATTTTCAGAGAAAATTCATGAATGTTAAGATAAACATATATGCTTTAAAAATGTTTTTAAAATAACTGGGTTTTTTTCCTCTCAAATAATTTGTGACTAACATAACTGGATTACGAACAATTGTCTAGCTTGCAGTGACACTGGACTTTTTTACTTTGTGTTAGACCATCTAGAAGTCAAAAATATAGATTTTGTTTTGTTTGCTTTCTTTTTGGTGTAGGCTTTTGGGGGGAGGGAGTTGAAAGAGGAGGGAGGGAAGCTGCTTTATGTTTCCTTCAAGAAGATCAGTTTGTCTTATAATTTCTCTCTTCCTTGTAGAGAGGAAAATTTTGGCTCCCTAGAAATGACATTTGTATGTTTTGATCTAAAATTTTTCAAGATTCTACAAAGTTCATAAGCAGTATTTTCAGTTCAAAAGTATAACACAGCATATGAAAATTAAGCTCTTTCTTCCTGGCTAATTGTATCTTTATACCAGAATTTAACTTAGAGCTTTTTCACTGACACATGAGCCAGTTTTCCCTGTGATGATTCTGTTGGCTCTGCAGATTTAGCTGTTTCAAAGGTATGAAACTGTTTCCAGGTAAGCAAGCAAGTGTGACCTGTAAATTAAAAAATGCAAATCTATTGTATATGGAGATGATGCTTTAGGGTAGTAGTTTCTTCTTGGAATAGCTACTGCTAACCCTGTGTATAACCATATGCAATGGATTGACAGTTATTGTATGAAACCGAACAGATACTTGCAAAAGTTTCTGTTTACATCTCTCTTGCCTTGTGTTCCAGGTACAGACAGATGTTAGTGTAGATACCAAGCATCAAACATTGCAAGGAGTAGCGTTCCCCATTGCTAATGAAGCTATTCAAGCTTTGGAGAAATTGAAAAATAAGAAACTGAATTATGTGCAACTGGCAAGTATAAAATACTTTCTTTTTTAACATTGAGTATAAAGTAGATTATCCACACATTAAATAATGTTGATTACATGTTGATGATGTGCATTGATGATGCACTCTGATAAATTACCATTCTGTATTAGATTCATTCAGATATTTTTTTTTTTAATCCTGTCATATTCTCTGGTTTGCTTTCTGTATATTAACTATATCCATGTTTGCTTTTTTAACAGCAAATTGATATGAAAAATGAAATTATTATTTTGGCCAACACACTTCATACTGAACTTAAGGACTTGCCAAAAAGAATTCCAAAGGATGCTGCGCGTTACCACTTTTTCCTGTATAAGCATGCCCATGAAGGAGACTATTTGGAATCCATAGGTATGAGAAAATTTCTCAATATGAAGTTTCATTGGCTTGTTTCAAGTACTTTAGTAATTTGAGGCAGAGAGAAAGATGTGTCATAAAAGTAATCTGTCTGTCAGCATGATCACGAATTTCAGAGTCGTTTGGTTGTGAAACTGACTTCTGAAGTCCTTATGTTTAGAAAGTATTGAGCTGTCCCTTTTGATTATGAACACCCATAAATCAGTTGTCATGTGAAAACATAAAGATACTGGCCATTCTCTCATCCCCCATTTAAAATGAAACAGTTGCTGAAGACAAAAAAAGGTCCGTAATGGGGTTACATTTTCCCTTTCAGACTGCATAGTTGATTTGCAATGTCTGTCTGCTGTGAATGATTTTATGATGCAGATTTTGATGGAGTGTAGTTATAGTCTGATTTGTGGGTTTTCTTTCTGCAGTTTTCATCTACTCTATGCCGGGTTATACCTGTAGTATACGAGAACGAATGCTCTACTCTAGTTGCAAAAGTCCACTGTTAGAAATTGTAGAAAGACAGCTGTGGATGCAGATAATTAGAAAGGTGAGTACACTGGGTATACTGGTATTTTCTCCATCCCTCTGTTCCCATCTTAATACCTAACTATAATTGTCTCTGCCACCACCTTCTCTAAACAATGAAAAGTGTTGTGTAACTATTAAAGTTTGTCCTGAACAAGAAATACTTGTTGATAAAGCTCCAGATACAAAGTTAAGTCATAGAAGCTTTTCTCTGGTTGATAATTTCTACATTTTAGTAGCTTTAACAAACATATCCTTGTGGATCAAGGGCGTGTTTTGAGAGTACTGTGAAGGACTATTTAGAACTAATGTGATTTCTTACTAAAAGTCCTGTCATATTTTGGACCACAACACATTGCTGTTGTTGAACGCTAAATTCCTTTAAAGCCAAGGTTATTTAAGGATTTTAAAAATAATTTCAAGCTGCAGTTCTGGAACTTCAGACTGGTATTTTAGAAGTCCTTGATGGGGCAAAGAAAGATTTGTAAGTAAGGTGATCTTTTCACATTGTAGAGATTTTACTACTATGCAGTAATGTGGTTCTCACCTCCAGAGCAGAGACCATAGGAATGGTCCATTTACGGAACATGTGACCTATGGTTACATTCTCAACACTTGTGCTGTAAATTTAAAAAAAAAATATGAAGGCTTAGTTTCTGTAGGGATGATGTCTACCTAACAAATAGCTGTGTTAATACTAACCATTTTTAATGAGGTGACATGAATTAAGTAGATTATCATTACGTGTTTTCATGTGTAGTTATTTATCAGAAATTTCCTCTCTACAACAAAATAAATGCACTGTGTGACTCCTGAAATTCCTGTAGACATATTTCTGAAGCACAGACTTGTAACAGCAATGCCGTGGCTGGCAAGTCCATCAAGTGCTATGGTTTGGCAGGCCACGAAGTGTTGAACACTCAACAGAGCAGGGCCAAAGCATTTCTCTGAATTCTAAATTCCTGCAATTCAAAACAGTGGGGTTTGGCTTGAGATCAGTATTTTCTTTCTATTCAGGTTTATATGCTTAAATTTTAAAAACCGAAACAACCTCCCTTTTTGTTCCTTAAACTTATTGTAGCTTTTCCCTGGCTTGAATACTTGCTGAGTTGCAGTAGAAGCTGATCATATAAGCTGCTTGTACTCCTCCCCTTCTCTCTCAAGAGACAACAATACGTACGCACGTTGCTTTGGCAGTTGGTGTTAAAAGCACATTTTAGTGAAAAATTTTAATTAATTCTCATAATGTGGAGATTGCGTTGCAACAATGACAAGTTTTTATTTTAGAGGGGAGAATACAGAATGGAAATTGTAGTTCTGAACGATCCGCATTCTTATCTTTTATTAAGGAACACTTTATAGATGACTAAATAAGCCCTTGTTTCCACATGGAATGTGTACTCCTAGTTAGTATTACTATGTATGCTGTGCCAAAGCTTGGGACAGAAGAAGTTTCTTGGCATATGTACTGTGTAGTTGTGCTTATATTTCAGGAAAAATAATTAAGTCAAATCACACTTAATACTGGTAAAAGTATAGTGGATTCTCAGAAAAACTATCCAAGATTGCTCAGGGCATTAGGCACAAGTTGGAAAACGTTTCATGCTGGACTCTGAACCTTACTGCACATCTGGTTTTAATGTGGTACTTAGAGCTTCAGCAAAATTTTGAAATGTTTTTAAATATGTCTTTAAGGTGAATACGATAAATGTTGGCGCTTTTTTTCCCAGATTGAAATAGATAATGGTGATGAGTTAACTCCTGACTTCCTTTATGAAGAGGTTCATCCGAAACAACATGCTCACAAACAAAGTTTTGCTAAACCAAAAGGCCCTGCAGGGAAGAGGGGAATACGAAGACTGATCAGAGGTCCAGCAGAGACTGAAACACCTAGTGATTAGAAACTGTTGTTTGCATTTGTTATAAAGTATTACAGTAAGAAATTAAATTCTGGCTTTCAGTAATGAACTGAAATCATTCCATTCATAGATGCTAGGAAAAGAAAGGCTCTTTTTACTCTTCTGACTCCTCTGACCTCAACACTTTTTATATTGTTACATGATTATATTTGTTGACCATGTTTTATAACATGTGGAAGAGCTAATTATTTTAAAGCTAGAAGAGGAAGACTAAGCTAGTACCCCTTTATTTTAAATTAGAATCCGTTATTTAATAGCTGTATATGTGATCATAAACTTTGCAGACATAACACTATTAAGCCCATGTACTCTGTGGGTAAGTTGAGCTCTATGCCTAGATGACAGACCTGTCTGCTTATGAGTAGCCTATTGAAACTCATAAGACTTTCCATGTGAGAAGAGCTGAAGGACTATATAGCATTGTCCCAGATAAATCTTTATTTTTCCTTGTAGCTCTTACGGACAATAATACAGTAGAAGGTTTTCTTCTGGTTTTGACATGATGCATTATTGGGTTTTGTTGTTGTTTTGTTTTGGGTTTTTTTTGGTAATAGAAAAGATAAACTCAAATCAGTTATCCATCAATTAATGTAAGTGTTCAGGAACAGCTGGATATTTTGTGATGCAAAAGCATGGTCATTTCAAATTTATAACTGTTTTAATGTGATTGTCTTTTAAAGAAATCTGACATAAAACCACTATAGCTTTTCCAGACTTCTATACCGCTTGTAAGCCTTACATATTAAGTACTAAATGACCAAGTAAAAAGTAATAGAAAGTGCATGAGTATACTCGGTAGATTATGGAGCTGCTTTCAAATATGCGTAAAAATTCCAAATAAATAGTTGATTATTGGTGCACTTGGATCTAAACTGGTATAAATTCAGTAAAAATTGAAATAGACTTGCTTCATAATGGTGAGTCGTTCTTGAGATCCTAGTGTGGTTATAGTATCAACTGCAATTTTGACTTTCAAAGTATTCTGAAAATGACTTTTCCTGAATGTTTGAACTTTAATAGTAACTTAAATCTGTAACAAAATCCAACTAGGTGTTGAATAACTGCTGGCAGCACCTAGTTAGGATTTTGTCTTTGTCTTTTTTTTTTTTTCCCCTTCTCCAAAATACTAAAATCACCCAGAACAGTCTAAACCTGATCAAACCATGAGTAATGTATTTAATAGGAAGAAGAAAAATAAGATTATTTTAATAAGTGGATTAAAGAAGAATTAGATGTGGAAATCAAGTATTGGATGACCTTAAATATTTAAAATTGTGTAGAGGCAAATACTAGTGGAGAGATTATATTCCCCAGTGGGGACTTGCTTTTTAGTGTCATGTATGTGAGCTTTGTGTTTCTTGAATTTTATATTCTTAAGGCTACATGGGAGTTGCAAGTCTTGGTTCAGTGTGTATTACCATAGGTGCTGGGTGTACACGTTATGGAGCTGAATCACGTGTTTACCTGGTGGAAGATAGATTTGAAACTAGTTTTGTAGGGAAATAATGCTTTGACACTACTAGTTCCTGATAAAATTTGTTTTATCTTACACATTATTTTGTTTGGAGATGCTAGCTTGTTATTGATGTCTGAGGTTGCACTATATAATGTGAAGATTGGAATAGCTGTTGGTTTTACTGTGGTGGTTTTTTTTATATATGAAGTAGAAATCTGACACCTCAGCTTTTTTTCATTTAATCTGATACACTACATCAATCCAATTCAATAGCTCTTGATCCTCAGCTAATCTCCTCCTTGCCCTCAGCTACTGTGTTCTTTTTCTGCCTCTTGCCTCCTCCCTCCAGGGCAAGGAGCTGCCCTTTGGAGTCTTTTCTTCTCTGTGGTACCTGCCAGGCAAGTGTCATTGGTTTTTAAACATGGTTCATGTGTGTGCAGCTCATTGTACACTGTAATTAAATGTATTTTTAGTTGAACTTTGAATCTTTTCAGCACCCCTAATTCACTTTGGGCTTTTTGGTGGTTGTTTTTTTTTAAGGAAAACCTTTGAGTGTAGCAGTTGAAAAATCACTGCTAGAAGGGTTTTTGTTTGACTTGAGTATTCCTGCCCTGTGTCAGCCATACCAAGAGTGCACATACATTTTTACACTTATTTGAGCCAGTAAAGAAGTTCAGCTTTTTAATACCAAACATGTTAAATAATGAACAGTTTGACCTGCTATGGTTATGTGTATGTTGTGTTTTGTTTGGGGTTTTTTTCGGTAATCCTGCCCCAGGTAGATGAGGGTAGGAGGTAGGAAGCTTAATCTGGAGGATGCTGAAAGCTGGTTAAGCGATTACGGGAGGGTGTTTATAATGAGCTGCTTTAAGAGTTTGTCCCAAACCAGACATTCTAAGTTCTCTTAGTTGAAAATATTCTCTGTGGGTGTACAGACCCCTGACCAGTGAGCAGAGAGTCACGTCCTGGGCATATTTCCCCCTCATCTTTCCCCTAAAAGATAATTGTGTGAAGTCTTCCACAGCCCACGGCCTCCCCGGGCCTCTCGTAGTCATTCTCCTGACACAGCAATAACAAGCATCTGACGTTTGTGGAAGATCTGTCACGTTTACATCTGTGTAGTTGCCTCACGTAACACTACTCCTGTTAACTGATGTTCGGAGCCAGCACAAAGTGAGGGCATTAATGAAAGTTGTTCCTTAACTGTCTCTGCTCACTTAATAATTGAAAGTGTCCGTTCAAATTGTTGTTGGCCTTCGGAAAGCCCGAAAGCAATGCAGCTGTTTGCAGTTAACTTACAAGCTATTAAACAGTTAATTAACATGACAGGTAATTATTTTTGAAATGTTTATGTTGCAAGGTAGGAAGAATGTGATCTTCTAAAACACTCCTATCAGAGGTTTGTAAAACTAATCAAGGTAGTAATTGCTCTGTTACTTGGATAAACATGTTGATAAAGGAAACTTTTGATTTACGGTGTCTATATATTCAATGAAAACCACCTTCAGATGCTAAAATTAACTAAGTTTACCTTATCTATTTTGTAAATTACTTTATAAATAAAGATCTGACGCTTTAGTCTGGTGTTGTCTGAATCATTTCCTAATCTCTTTAACAAAGATCTATATTCTAACATCATGATGTGCAAGTAATAGGCACTAGAAAGCAGTACGGAAAAAGAGGTGGAGGGTGTAAGGAGGGAGATGGAAACAGAATTCCAGGCTTTTGTGACTGGAGGAAAATCAATGTGTTAGAAACAGCTACTTCCCTGCTGCCTTCTGGAAGCAGCACAGGGGCCTCCGTTGCAGGATCCAAGTGTGCTCTTCTCATGAGGTTTTTACGCTTTCAATAATAAGCCCCTTCAAAAAGTTCTTCTATCCTTTTAATATGCTGAAGTAGTTGATTAGTAATTTAGCAGTTCTATCTGTTGTGATTTGCTCAGCATGAGGTAGTATAATTAAACTACTCAAATAATGTTGTTCCATTAATGTGTTTTTGTCTAAACTGAAAGTAGTTTGCTTGAAGTCTCCCTATTGCCCTCAAAATCAGGCTGAAAAGAACATTTAGTGGTTTGGCTTTTCTTTTAAATGTCCTGCCAACACATCCCCGTGGGGAAATCAGCGATATGGCAATTTTGCAGTTGAAAGAAGGAAATTTGAAGATGTGTTGAACTAGGATTAAAGAGAGTAATTTTAATGCAAAATGCTGTGCAGGGAGAAAGCTATTCCTGCAAGAGGAGGGAATAGGCTAGACCTCTGTGACCATGATTAGCAGAACCAGCTTTATTTGCCTTTTGGTAGTGGGCGTTAATTAAAACTCTGCACTGGCCAGCCATAAAAATGAAGCAATACTGGGGCTGGGTAAAGGTGTGTTGGCTCAAAAGGTAGCTCTACAAACTGATAAGGACAGTTTGAGAAAAGGATGTGAGGTCTTCATTAGCTATTAAACCTCTCAGAGCTGAAGAGCTGCAAACTGTACAAAGCCATCACGTTCCACTGCAGGATGTCTCCATATGTGTCCTGTTGTTGCATTTGGTGCTCAGCAGCCACTGATGGCTCATGTCCTGACCCCAGGGCTGCACAGACACCTCTGCTCTGACTCCCAGCGTTCCCTTACCCCCTCCTCTATCCAACAGAAGAACTGCTGCAATTCCTTAACAGCAATTTTCTTTGGCTTTTGGCCTGCTGCTTCTTTCTGGAATTGTAATAAATTACTCTTGCTGGTTTTCATTCATACTTCCTTTGGGGGTGACTGAATTGCCGTATGTTACAGTTCTTGAGATCCTTAACCTGCAGAGGGTTGGCTCTTTCCCTGGGGATAGTGATCCTCAATGCCCTCTGTGGCACCTTCCCTGCTGAGAGAGGATGTAGCCCGGCCCCATCAGCCCTCTCTCTGTCCCCAGAGCGGTACCAAACCTCCTCTCACCTCCAGCTCTCTGGAACCAGATCATCCCTTTACTCACAGGGAACTGTTACTACTTTGTGACCTGGAAAGCTTCACTGTAGCAACTAATAGGAAGAAGTATGGATCCTAGGATAGGCTGGTTTTGCAGGAAATAAATGAAGCAGAAGTCAGCTGCTCTTAGCCCCCATCAGTGGCTCTAGGTGCTGACTTTACTGCATGAAGACCTTGGAAAAAATCTTGTGAGGGACAAAGGAGGAATTCCTTCTTGCACGCTCTGTAGTTTTTTGGGGGTTTGGGGTTTTTGTGGTTTTGGTTTTTTTTTTTTTTTTAAATAAAAGGTCCCACCAAAGTTATCTATTATTTCTTACTAGAATAATATTAATTGAGTTTAAAAAGAACCACTTTTTTCCTTGTATGAAATGGTAGCTACCATGCTTCATTTTCAGTGAGGGAGGGAAAATTACTGCTAAAACTTAGGTGCTGACAGCAGCACTGCAACTAGTTATGGTCTGCTATGACAGAGGAAGAGGAGCTCGCATGGTTGGAGTTAAGAGTCTCCTAATCCTTAGAACATCAGGGCCGGTGCAAACCCAAAATTGTTCTACTGCACCAGAGGTGACCAGCGCTGACTGGGGAGTTACTACAGCAAACACACTTGAGAGGGATGTACCCATCACCATGGATGTATTCTAGCCCCAGGGATTACTAAAAAGCACACATCATCTAATAAGAAACCTTCACTGCACAGCTGGAGATGTTTAAAACTTAAGAATGGCTTCAGCAGATTTAATTCTGACTTAGCTTTACAGCAGCTTTTTTCTCCTGTTCAGAGCTGCACAGCTCCATTCCGGGCAGTGAGGTTGGCACAACATCATGATCAGAAACACAAGCAACACAAAATGGCTGTCGTTTCCAAGACTCAAAGTTTTAATAGCAGAAATAATTATCTGCAATGATAATGCAGAGTTTTTATTTATGTTAACAGCTATTTACAATTTATGCTCAATTAAACTAGAAGCTGTTTAGATGGACACTTTTCCAAATCAATCTATCCATTTTAAAAAGCAATACAGAATGACTTAACAGCCAGAGTTCTACTGAGATAAATCCAATTGTTACAAATCACATGCTTTCTACAAAGATATATATATCCCTGAATGCAGTCAGATCGTTTCTCATTGTTTCCTTTTTCTGTGATAATCATGGATTTCAAATGTAGCTGCAAGCCACGCTATTTTCCTAGCCCTAAGCTGTCAAGAAAAAGTCCACAAGATGCAAATAGGTGTATAAGAAAAGAACCTTTTTCATTTACAATGGTAGAATTTTCATACCCACTTAGTTGAAAGTATTTGGAATCTTATTAGTCATTTTCATTCCATTTTTAGTCTCCTTTGATCTGTTAATGTTTCTATTAGAAAGATTTCCATGCTGGTTTTTTAAGTATATTTTAATATTTATTTATTAATATACATCCATATATAAAAATGTATGAAAGAGCTTAATTATTTGCCTAAAACCCAAATAATTGGTCTTCATACAATTATTATTCTGTCCCCTTTAACAAAATAAACCATCTGTATTTATAATCTCCCTTTGGAATCCTCTCCTCAAGTATAAAATATTCAAAGTAGCTAAGAGGCTTCCTCTGAACAAAAATTAAATGGGCTTTCATCATACAGCGTTCACTGGAAGAAAACCGTATGTATTTTTGCATTTGCAATGTGAGGTTATTATTCTGCCTGCAAATCCTTGAAACCAAAAACCAATGCAGAATGTGTCTTGCAGCATTAATTTGACTAACACTAATCCTGAGAAGACTTTCTGAAAAACAGTGACATTCGCAACCGCTACCAGTCCATTCACACTCACATGAACTCTCAAGTTAAAATGCTAAATAAATGTTGGTTTCAATGGGTACTAACACTATCTTTTCCCCAAAAGACAACATAAGTGCCGCTTAGATCTATTAAATGTTGTCTTCAGTAGAAAAATGTCTCAGTACACCTGATCAAGAAAGCAATTTGCAGGAAAAACATTCTACTCTGTTACTGTCATATGCCTTTGCAGCAGACATACTTGATACTTGGAAATCAAAAGAATCAAATAGATTCTAATATGAAAATGCTTTTTAAAAAGCTGCGGAGAAGAGGCACCAGCACTGCTATTTGTTAATACAAAACGAGTTTTCTTATGTCAAGGGCCCAGAATATGTGAAAAGGCTGCTCAGCTAACAAAAATAGCAGAGTGGGGACAAGCTAACAGCATACCTTATACGCAGACCAGAAAGTTCTGGAAAGCAGAAAAGCAGATTATGTCACACTAAATACTAATAAAATATTTGCTATTGGTGTCTACTGCACCTCAGAAGAAACACGTGTTAAGTTTTTATCTCCTGTAGATGCTGTTGGACCTGCAAGAGAAGAGATAAAAATATAAATAACTGATATTGTAGCCACACACACATGCACTCAAAGTAAATATTTTATCTGAGAGACTACATACCATCTTAATGTCTGGCCTTCTGGATTTTCTCTCATTCAGACACCGCTCAGCAATTGAATACATTTTATGAACCGAAGGTGCATCCCAGTCACTCATCTTTCCATCAACATAATCCACAATAGTTGCTTCCTCATCCTCAATGTCATCTTTGATGCTTAACTATAAGAGAGTTTGAATCAATGAGCATCTCAACATTATATATTCCATGCTAACACTTTGGAATCATTTCTTAACGACTTCTCTACACAAAGAGTGACAATGGTTCAGCAGCATAATTATTCATCAGTATCTGCAGAAACAGCCTATGAGACTATAAACAGGCTACACAAGTTTATTATAATTTATTTCTACTTGAGTTAACACAAAATTGTAAAGTAATTTTCTTTAAGCTGCAACGTACAGCTTTGACTTTCTTCCAGGAAAATTCTAGTCTGAAATAAGTTTTTAAATCTGACTGTTGCAGTCCAAAGCTCTCCAGATCCGACACGTTTGAAATGCATTATCTGTAATCACAAATACTGTTTAAGTAATACCTCAGACAAGTCAGGATGGTAAATGAAGTAAGAAATAAGAAGTCAGTGAGTAGAGGCAGGTCTTCTGCCTTTCTCTATGGGTCAGTCTGAAATTGCTGACTAACATTCGACTACCCCAAAATTTTCAAAGCTAAGGATACCACATTATTTTGCACTGACCATTCTTTATAACCTCAAACGTGTATTACAAAGATAAACTGTACCAGTAAAATCACACCTTATATTCCTTTTTAGATCCTATCTCTGAAAAAGCCTGCTTCAGAAAAACCCTAATACCTCAAGATTCAGTTTGACAGGGACTGAGTTCTCCAAGGTCTTTACAGAGCTCAACAGAATAAATATTATGCCTCTGCAGAAGATATAGCTTAGAGGAAAAAAAAAAAGCTATTAATAGCACAGGTATTCCTAAAAGCTGTGAAGAAAGTGATCAGTTATCAAGCATGGAACAAAGCCATGCTCAATGCTATGTCTCTATATAAAAAATATTCTAGGAAAACCTTCTATTAAGTAGTTCAGAAGTTAATTTTAAGTTAAATGAAAGGCTAAATTAACAATAGCCTTGTAAGACTTTTAAATTAAGAGAGTGAACTCTGAGACATTAGTTTCATAATTAGTAGACTAAATTACTCATTGAATAGTACAAAAGAAAACAAAATTCAACCCACCCCTCACCCTGCAAAAAAAGCCCTTACATTCCAAACTTCCCTAAGGTAATGAACACAAGGTATTTGCAAATTATTAGTAAAGTTGAAGAGGATGGAAATTGACGCAGGAATGGTAAGATACATAAAGAACCATAAACAAACAAGTGAGATGAATAGTTTAAAATGTTCTGGTGAAGGAGGAACTGTCAGGGTATCCGGGTATAACAGGTATATGCTGATAAAGCGTAATGGAACTAGAATCAGAAGCAGTACCAGAACAAAGAGAATTATAGTATCAGATCAGAAGGAGAAGACCTTGGGGACTGAACAGTGTTCTACCAGCCAAGAGATAAAAGTTTCAGCCTCACCTCTAAGACAAACATTGACACAAGAGCTCTTTTCGTAACTGGGTATTATGATGACTAACTCGATTGTCTCAGAACCTCTTAACTGACTATGATTTCATATAAAGTGATCCTGGAGCAGGGGGAAGGGAAAGGAAAAGGAACATACCAGTAACTGTGGCTCCCGGTTTTCATCTACTGGAGGGAGACCCGTTATTATTTCTAGTAAGACCTAGAAGAAAAAAAATCAAAAAGAGAAAATGAAGCATAGAAGAATCCAGTCGCAAAAAGGAGCATGACCCCAAGCTTTCAAACAAATGCTCACAGGATCTGATTTTGTCCAAAAGACAGCTCTCTACACAACTGTTGTTGCTGTTGTCCCTACTTTATTTTTAATAACTGTTAATCACAGTGTGGTTTATGAATTTCAACGCAAGGTTTTCTCACCCTACATCACGTTGCTCCAAAGCAAGGTGGAAGGATTTCCAAAGTATTCAGAAACAGCACCTGGCTTAACTCCCCATGAAGCTAAATGCCATGAAGGAAGTGGTCAATAGCAATCAGGGTCCTGGATCTATTCAGAATGAGTTCTCCCAAGTGTTAAGCTCATGTCTTTTTTTTGTACTCAGCTTTAAGGCAAATCCCACATGGATAGCATACTTTTGGTGCTTAAAAACAATAAAAAACATTTGATTTTGGAAGATTTTCTTAAGTTTTCTTTTTTCCCCAGCCTGAGTTACTATTTTGCACGATAGTATACAAGAAGAAACAATGTTCCACATTATTTCAAACTGCATTTAGCTAGAACGTGGAATGTTACTTTACTCCAGTCTTCCACATGCAGCTTTACATTTTAACATAATTATTGTAATCATTAGCAAATTCAATTTTTTAATCAACATATTCAAATTATTTTAAACCAAAGTTTAGAACACTGTCTTAAGAGTACATCTATTGGGAAAAGGAGAAGTGATAGATCAGAGTGGATTATTTAATTTCAGACATTCTTGATTTTCTTTGCTTTTATCATTTACAAAAAAAGTAATATACTCCATCCCACATTCTACTTACTACTCCAAAACTGAAGATATCAGATTTAGGTGTTATCTCTCCTCGCAGAGCTTCAGGCGCCATATAGGCTGCTGTTCCAACAATTCTTTCAGTCATGATTGTTTGTGTGAACGTTACAGACGCTCTTGCAAGTCCAAAGTCAGAAATTTTGGGCATGTATGTATCAGTTAATAAGATATTTGCACTGCGGGGAAGCGGGGAGAGAAAAGAAAAGATATATTTCCAAACCAGTCCAGTAATTACTTTTGATAACAGACTAATGACTCTTTAATAATGCAAACTGCTATTTTAACTGTTTCTTGAAATCTAAGATATTTATTCATTACTCATACTTTTCTTTTGGGTAAGAGTTAGTTTTGTTGGAAATTGCTCAAAGGTAATTGCTCTAAATCAATAACTGGCTGCCGGGTTCCATCCATGATTTTTTCTTGTGCATGCACAAAATAATTAAAAAAAAAAAGGAAAAAACCCAAACACTCCCTTTGCCCCAAAATTCTAAAAATACAAAAATTTCCTATAAGAGATAACTATATTACAGCCATGTTTTGGATCTGAATACTCTTTAAGAAGGATAACAAAGAATACTTAGCTCTGATCAACTCATACTGAATCACAGCACAACTCTTAACTGCCTAAATCTCTACTCGGAACTAACAAAAGCAGGTTTTTATCTCTGTTACCTAATACCATGTCAACCATTACAAATTCAAATGCCAAATGATACTTTTATTCTAACTCTTATTCCACTAATGCTCTTATTCTCCTCTTGGAAGAGAAACTGAAAACTTATTAATGCTGGAATAATGTTATGTACTATGTTTCCACTTGGTCTCCAGCTTTTATTTCCCTTAAAAAAAAAAAAACACAAACACCCTGAAAAATGAAGCTGATCCAAAAGACTGTAACATTTTCATTAACTACCCAGTGGGATGAATTACCACATAAATCTTTTACTGTTTTTTAAACTTGTAGCACTTGGAACCATTTTAAAATACTCGATTTAACATTTTCTGACCCTCTTACTGGAACTGTCAGAAAACCACATAGCCAGATACAACATATAACACTTAGTAGAAACTTACATTTTTAAATTTCCTTTCTTGTTCACCAAACCTTCTTAACAAAATGAACACAGCTGTACATTACAACAGATCACTTGGTATTGGAACTGCTGTAAATATTGTTAAATATAACACTGCAAAAGGCCAAACACTAGTCCTGGCGCCAACTGGTTTCATACTTAAAGCTCAAATTCTAAAAGAAGGAAGAACAGGATCACAACTTCATAAATCTAAGCTTCTTATCAACTTGAGTCAAGCCCAAAGATTGTTCACTTTTTTGATAACACCACAAAGGACACAACAGAAGCAAGTTTTACTGCAACTGTCACAGTTTAAAAGATAAATGAACTATTTCCTGGGCATAAGCAAGCCAAAAAAACTATTGACAACTCGGAGAACACTCATTCAATCACATCCCCTCAAGCCTGCAGAGAAGCTGTTCTGGTGCCCGTGTGGTTATGAATTGTCTCAGCACATCATAGGGAAATGAAGACTGAAGTAAACCACCTCAGATGTCTCTTTATCTACATGTCACCTAGGAGTGGCAGCACTATTAAGAACACCAACCAAATTTATTGAACTATTCACACCGCAAGAGGTTTCAAAATGGAATGCAAACAAAAGAAAAAAAAACAGAACAAAACCCCATCTTTTAATATGATCAACTCACAGCAGTTAGAAGGGTAGAGTAGCATAAGGTAAAAAGTGCATCCTTTCCAGTCACTTGTCCAGAGGCTTAAGCAGGGAAGAAAGAAGAAATGTAAGTTGTCAAAGCAGCAAGCACATTTTAGGAGGCTGCTGAAGCAAAAACTCGTTCTTCACAAGCTGGAAGGTCACAAAACCAAAGTGCCCTACATTTAGCAGAGTTGCCAGAAGCCAAAAAAGCTATTGAAACATTCATCCATGACACCCAATCAGTCAGTTGGTCCTTCTTAACCCACAGAAGCAATAAGGCATGTGGGGCTTTCCTGCAAAGATTTGGACTGGTTTAGTATTAAAAAAAAAAAAACAACAGAACAAACTGTAGCAAGAGGAGAAAGGGGGGAGGAGAAAAAGAAAGAAAAACCATCAGAAAAAGACCTCCAAAACCTACAACAAACCACCACCTTTTCTGAGCTCTTATATCCCTGGAAGAGTTTCTGATATCACAAACAAGTGAACATACATTATCCTCGAAGAGCCCTGAACTTCATAAACCTGACTGAAGTATTTTTACTACCTTCATAATAAATAGGAGTAAATCAAAGGAGACACCCTGAAGAAAGGTTCCAGGGAAAAGAAAAAAAAAGAAGGTGGGTTTTAATCTGAAAAATTCCCCAGCTAAAAGTCATTATGGTCTTTAACAGTAGGTTTTTCATTAGCAGCAGTTGTGAAAGAACAGAACTTCTGAGTGTCCTTGCAGCACTCAAGTAACTATTTGATAATAACAGATTACAATAGCCTCATAATTATCTTCAGAAGTCTGTACTGGACATGTCCTTGTGGCATGTACAAGATTATGGTGATGGATGTCGCTTGCAGAAAAGATTGTGCCCTTGACTGAAGCAATTCTTCTTGCAGTTCATTCTCTCTAAAATGATGACTTTAACAGGTGGAAGAATAAAAAGAAAATAGAAAAAAAAGGAAAGGGAAAATGCAGCAAGCAATAGTCAGCAGCTTTTACCTTTTAATATCTCTGTGAATATGATTATTTTCATGCAAGAAGTTGATGCCGTTTGCTGTACCTTGAACAATTTTACATCTTATACTCCAAGAAATTGGTGGAGTGTCACCCTTGAATAAGAAAGCAGAAAGGCAAGTAGAAAGGTGAAAATCTAATATATATTTGCTCATGCAAAACATAACAAAACATAAAAAACCCCACAATCCAAAACCAATTTCTTGCTGTATTTTGTGGTTTTCAAGTAAATCATTAAAAAGAAATCTAATAACATACATTTCTTAATTTACTTGGGCAGACATACATGCATTTGTAACATTTAGTTCTTTCCTCTGTGTTTTGCTGTACATTAATTGACCCACTTGCTTTTGCTCTATTTGACCCTGACCCTACAAAGCCAGCTGCAGTGCTAAGAACTACTCATCTCTACTGCACCTTCCACATTGTACTGGCACCAACACCAGCGCCTTTTAACCCAAAGCAAATCATTCACAGCAACCACCAGTTTTTATTAACAATAAGAAGTCAGTATCCCAGCGGCTTTGGATTTACCACTTCTCAAGAATTTAGCTTGATTCACGTTACTAACTAGACCATAGAATTGAGGACACCTACATTTCAAAACCACTTCTTGTCAGTGGCCAAGGGAAGAGGATTAGAGAATCTCATTATTCCACCACCTCCCTCACCTGCTCCTCAAAGCCCAGACAAAAAGAAGATGATGTTAAGCAAGAATCTGTGCCTCAAACACATCCAGTGAACTCACAAAATGAAGTTATCAGCAAGAGCACACATTCAGTATGCACATTCCTCACCTAGTCAACTTTATCAGAAAAAGATTCTGATTTAGATTCTTATGATTTATATCATAAGTTTATCTCTGCTTTGCAAAGGCCTCAGTTATTTCTACTTTAGTTTTCAATTACCACCAATTATTAAGCTCATTTGATGATAATGGCCAAAGTTACATGGATGAACACTTTCATATGCATCTTCGTCAAGCACTGCTCATTTCTACAGATAAACTTGTGCTGCCGTAAGTAAAACTCGGTCTCTCTTCTGCACTGATTTAGTTTAAAAAAAAATAAACTACAAATGTGTGTGTGTAAGCAAATTAGCCAAACCATCGTGAGGCAGCAGTGTTACTAAACACACCCAGTCCTTCCCCCAACCACTGCTACTCATCCTCACACCACTTTCCTGTTGGGGCAGAAGTATTTGTGCAGTCCTGCAGAAAAAACTTCTCCATGTGAAAATGAAAGATTTTTTTTTTTTACCAAGTATATTTTCAGCTTGATCAGCTCCCTAACTCAGCTCTTTCCCCAGCTACTAAATGCTTGAGCCAGTACAGCAGAAAGATGAGCACAGAAAAAAGCAAACTATTTTTTTAGGTTTGGAGGCACGGGAAGTTGAAGTTTAGAATGTTCACCAGATCACAACCTCAGAAACTGCATTTGCTTAGTATAAAGCAGATTTTTAACTCCTTAAACTAACACGGACACTCATCTACTGAGTCTGGCTCACTGTTGGTATCACTCTAACAAGCAACTGCTTGTCCTTCATACACAGATTTCCTTTACCAAAACCAAATAAACTCATCATTTATTAAAGGCCAAGGCTAGAAGATACGTCATTTGATGACATCAAAGAAAGTATTGCATTTACACAAAATACTAATTTAAAAAAAATATATTTCACAGCTCTTTAGGCACTTCAGAAAGATACACAGAATACAAACTTTGTGTTATAACCACTATCACAAGGGCAATGAATAAAGGGCAATTTCACAATGCAGAATTACTCAAGATCTAGCAGAGAACAGGCACAACCAGGAACAAAACTGCAGAACCCTCAGCTCTACTCTACACTGGCATAGCAAGTCCAAGCTCCTGTGCAGCTTGAGGTACTAGTACACAACATTGTATCATCAGCCTGCTCTGACTTGGATGTATCCAAAGCATTTGTATAAAACCTTACTGAAATAATACTTGTTATCATATTTGTCTTCTGGAACACAGAAGTAAGTAGTAAAACATGGTTTGGCCATTACACTTCAGTACTGTTTCAAAGACAGTTCATAGATACCTATACCTTAGTAGAGTAAGACAACTGAAAGCTGGAAAAGATCTTACTTACCAGACAAGCCAGTCTGTCAAGCAATGAACCATTGGGCATGTATTCATACACCAAACATGGCTGAGCACCATCGCTTGAGAAACCAAGTAATTCTACTAGATTCTCATGCTGACACCTGTAGCAAAAAAATTCTATTCACATATACTCTGAAAGACTCCCAATATTTGAGGAAAATACGAGGTAGAGGGAACTTGATACCCAACTACTTGTTTCAGCCCTACTGCACATAGGCAAGGTGCTGCAGTGATGCTTTAAAACAAACAAGGTACAGTGACGTTGTGCATGAAACATTCTCACTTAACATGAAAATCATTGTTATGCTAGAAAGACAAAAAGAAGGGATCACACTAGCTAACATGTTATTTGCCAACTTAGATTCTCACAAAAGCCTATAAAGACATCATAAAATACTGTACTCACTTTGCCATTATTTCTATTTCTTGATCAAATTGCTGTTTCAAGTCCTGAACGCTAACATTAACCATCTACAAAAGGAAGTATTTGACATTAATATTGCTGGCCATATTAAAACTCACGTTGGTCATTAAAAAAAATTGGAATTGTAAGCCTTTCTTTACATGAGTTACACTAAACAACTACTTAAGCTTTACAGTATTTTTTTTTTTTACTCAACTCAAAAATGAAGTATTAGAATGTGATTTTTAATACCTTGGAATACAATAGCATTGGACAAATGGATCCAGTTTCAGCACAGTCACCACCATTTTTTTTTTCACTGCAGTTATCCACTAATAGCACTTTTTATAAAATTAATTCACATAAACCATTGGTTATGAAGAGTAAAATTCTGTGGCAATACCTATTTAGCTTGTGAATCCTTCATCTGACTTGGAAAGGGAAACTTGCCTAGTACTCCTTCCCTTCTGCCACTTGTGGTGTGCAGGGGAGGAAGGGGAACGGTGGGAGCACTTGCTGTGTCGGACAGCTTGCCCGAGCCACTCGAAGGAGAGCTACAGAAAGGGCAAGACTTCATCTCCTGTGACTGTGCCAACTCACACCACCCACGGGACTACAGGATAAGGTTCTCAACCCAACTAACATCTAGCACGGTGGAACTTTTTGAAGTGTGTCATTCAACACTTTCCACAGACAATCAAATCTATATTAACAGTTATTAACAAAAGAAATGCCCAGGACAACTCACAGCAACAAGTTTCTTGACAGCCACGTTTCTGCCATTGATGTAGCCTTTGAACACAATGCCAAAGCCACCTTCTCCCAGTTTATTTCCTCCATCCGACTCTGGTCGCACATCAAAATTATTTGTAATACTTTCCAAGTCATGAAACGAAAAATTATGGAAATCTGAAAGACATTATTTGCCATTTAGCATAACTATGTTTTCACTTAGGAACAAACGTATTGAAAAGATTCTCTGCTTCAGTCCTATTAAACAAAACACTTGCTACCATACAAATCCTGACATAGTGGAGCCCTATTTCCAGCTTTATGAAGAAGATGGGATGGCAGATGGGGTGGAAGAAATACAAATATATATCATTAGCTACACATAATTTTCTTCCAACTAGCACTGTAGCAGCCTTCTTACTCTTTTTTGTTAATATTTGTAATGCAGGCAATACAAATTAAATGCACAGCAGATCAGAGAAAACCACACTACATCAGATGTAAAAATGTATCTAGATCACATCACGTTTCTGGCAGCAACCCCAAAGTGGACCCTTAGGAATGAATAGACTAACTATTTTCCTAGACTGCTTTTTTTAGTCATCCCTTCTCCAAGACTCCTAAGTCATTTCTGACATGTAAAATCCAGCTTTGAAACACGATGCTAAACAGCATACAAAATCAGTATGGAAAAAGGGCAACAGGATCATGTGCAGCACAAAACAAACTGCAATTTAATTAACAGTCAAGTTTTCCACCACAGTAGCTGCCTTATTGGCAAGGTGCATCTCATATCCAGACATTTTATTACCCCAGCTAAATTCACAGCCACACAGAACAAGAGCAAAAGCATTTCCGATAGATGAGCGATCACAGAAATGTAGTCATTACTCTAATGCATTTTTATGATTTAGTTCACGTGGGGTGAATGGCCGATCAGCAAAAAAAGACTGTACTTAATTCTACCACACTAGGGGCCTACCTGTGCTACTGGACTGCAAGCTGCTACTTTCTTGACTTAAGTAGGAAGGAGCCGAATGTTGCTTCTCCGTACTCTGAGCTAAAGCAGGCTTTCCAGATGCCACTTCTTTTTCCTGTATAGGCAGTTGTTTCTCATGTATAGGCAAGGTTTCCTGTGAAGAAAGAGGTAATGTAACTTCTTGTGCCATCCTTACAGCTTCTGAAAATGGAATTTAGAAAAAGTGTTAACTACATTAGGAATCAGAAAAAAACAACTAACATTAATGCCAGTATTTACTAACAGTAGGAGACATGAGAAGGTCATGATCTGCCAGCATGTATGAGCTGCAGGAGTCCAATTTAAACTTGAAAATCTTATTTAAAGTGTTATTAGAAATAATGGAAAATGGAAAACATATCCACTTTTGGTTATCTTGACGTAATCCTGATTTTCAAGTTACTGTGAAGCTCCTCAGCATCTTAGAAAATGTATAAAACATACAAGAGTAACAGTTACCTGGAAGTAAAAGGCGTGCTGGTGCTAGGAATTGATTCCTGATCAGCAGATCCACAAGATCACCAACTGTGCAGTTTGTCGTTCCCCAGTCATAAAGTAATTCACAGGTGGGGCTCTTTCCCATTTGTACAAATGCCTCAAATCTCCTTAAAAGATAAATTAAGATCAACTTTAAAAAAAAAATAAGTGACCTCAAGAAGCATGAAGAAGGGAAAGAGACTAAAGACAAATGATAAAAAAAAAATTTAAAAAAATCTGAACATATCAAACTGTATTGTACAATTATTTGCAGATCTTCTGAAAATGCAGACCCATTTAGGACCCATAATATATTGGTACATAGGACTAACAGAGAACAAGAGACAAAAGGCAAATCAGAGTCAGATCACATAGAAAAAAACCCAATGTGTTTCCCATCCATTTGGCACTCACACTTCATTTTGAATATTTCGAGATGCACGTTAAGCAGAAACTGAGATCCACTACTCTGACCAATTTATTATTATTATAGAAAGACAAAGATTTAATGCTAACATCACTAGAAAGACTGGAAACCCATGATGATACATAGGGTACTTAAAATCTCATAACCTTTGAAATAGCTCAAGGATTTGACAAGCTCTTCAAGCAGTAAGGTGTTCATAAAACACTGCTGACACTACTTCTAAATTAAACTTGTTAGTTTTGGGCCTTGGGCTCCCCACATTTGCTGGGCATTTTCTTGGGAAGAGCAAATTAGGGGTTACAGTCCAGTTGTCTCCTGTGCTGCTCCTGTGCACGGGATGCACAATGAAGTCAACGCTTATTAGTCTCTAGGGTACAGAAAGCTACACAGCCAGTGCTGTATCGCTAAAAATGCGTATGTTCCTAGCTCTAATTAATTTTAATTTCCTTACTCGATTTTCTTTGGCTACAGCTTGTCTGCAAGCTGAACTACAGAGCAATTAAGAGTAATTACCTTGAGCTCCCTAAGGAAATGGTAATGTAAGAGGAGTTCTTAAGTACCAGCCAGCACACAAACTGCAACAAGTTACAGTAGTGGGGTGGACAGAGATATTTATGTTAAATAGTTAATAAAGATTAGATATTAGGAACAAATTCTTTACTGTGAGGGTGGTGAGACACTGGAACATGTTGCCCAGGGAAGCTGTGGATGCCCCATCCCTGGAGGTGTTCAAGACCAGGCTGGATGGGGCTTTGAGCAACCTGGTCTGGTGGGAGGTGTGCCTGCCCAGGGCAGGGGGGTGGGAACTAGATCATCTTTAAGGTCCTTTCCAGCCCAAACTATCCTATGATTCTAAGCTTATGTTACGTGACTTCTATGTAGGACCTTATATGCATTTGGTTGTATCTGCTTTCCCCGGAGGGATCGGTGATATCAACTGCCAGTTTCTTCCACCCTTCCTGCGGGTCGATGAAGTCCGCCAGCCGCCTCATGAGCCCGTAGCTGATGCAGCGGACGTAGGTCGAAGTCGTCACGGGCTTGTTCATCCTCGGCTCCTGAGGGACACAAACGGCGCCGTTACCGAGAAGCTTCGCCGGGGGTGGCGGCACGTCAGCAGCGCCTCAGGCCCGACGGCGGCCGCCCCCATCCCCATCCCCCGCCTCACGGCTTCCTCAGCCGCTTCCCCGCCGCACAGCGAGGCCTGTCCCGCCCCGCCCGGGGCCGCCCCCCGCGACGCGGCTCCTGCCGTCCCCGGGAGGCGACCGCCCCTTCCCCCCGCCCCGCCCAGCCACTCTGACCGCATGTGGCGTCACCGAGGCGAGGCGGGGAGACGGCACCCCGATGAGGGGAAAGCGGAAGCGCTCCCCGCCCACGCGGCCTTCCCATAGGCTGTTCGGGAGATGCCCCGCCCCCTCCGGCGCGCCCCATGGCTGGCAGGAGAAGGGGGGGGATTGGAAGGAGGGGGATCGGGAGGGGGGAGAGGTCTCTTGCTGGAGTTCCCCACGCGCCTGGAGAAGTTGGTACCGTCCACGGGCCCCTTCCCCCGGCGGATGGGTGGCGGCGCCCCCTGGCGGTGCAGGGCGGGGGCTGGGGGGCGCGCGCGGGGTGGGGCGGCGCGCGGCCGTGCCGTTGAGAGCGGCCCGTAACGGCCGCTCGTGGCGCGAGCCGTGCCAGCGGCCATCCCCCCCCTCCCGGCCTCGCAGCAGCCTTTCCGTTAATTGTTGGTACGTTTTTCTTCTCCTCCTCTCCCTGTCTTTTTATCTGCCCGCCCCCCTCGCAGGTGCGGGGGTTTCTGTCCCTTCTGGAGGAGGGCCAGGCCGGGCAGCCATGCTCCCTTCCTTCAGCTACCTGACGGGCCACCTTGGCTTCCGCGGGACGATCAAAAACTCACCCGCCGACTTCGTAGTGACAGAAATCGAGGTGCCCAAACACTCGCTGCGGGACGCCCGGGGTGAACCACCTCAGAAAAACAGCGAGGCGCCACCAGAACAAAGTAGCCAGCGCCTGTGGCCGCCCAAAAAACTGAGAAGGGAGCCTCCCGGCCCGTGTGCCAAGGGCTGTGGTGGTGGTGGTGATGATGGTGGTGGTGGTGGAGCACCCAGTCCTTCTGAGCATCGCCCAAGCCAGGCAGGAGGCGACCATTCTGCATCCCCTAAAAAAACCCATCATGAGGATGAACCCGAGCTGAACTCTGGCCCTGGGGAAGCCAAGGTCTTGGATTCCTTGCTAGGCAAACCCATGAGCGAGCTGCTCAGCAAATTTGCTTGTGATCTGAAGGATGCGTGGGACTCGGGAAATAACGGTGATGCCAGCACTGGGGAGTTCTCGCTGGGACCTGTACTGGACAAGAAAAACAGAGCTGATTTACACAGTGCCATTAGGCAGGAATTCCCCTTTCTAGTCACTGTTACAAAAGGCAATGAAATGGTTGTGAAAGGAAATGCTGATTACAGAGAACTTTGTCAGTTAGTGACCGAAAAGGAAACAAGTAATTTCTTTAAATTTTTAGATGCAAAGCTAGAACATTCAACATTTTCTTTTGAGCCTGATGGAAACAAAGAGCACAGAAAAGTAGTTCACCACTTTATCAATAGAAAATTTGGAAAACTTTTAGAAACAAAGTCTTTTACTGCGACAGATGGCAATGATCAGCCAAATATGTCAATAATGGTACGATTTCGAGAAAAAAGTTGGTCCAGAAAAAGGTCTGCTGGTGGTTGCCAGGAAAAGCAAGATCTTTATACAGGTAAATATTACATTTTTAGTGAAAGTGTCAGGTATTATGGTGTTCTTTACTAAGACTGAGACTCCAAATAATATTTATATGATATGTGGGTCTGGTTCACCCATTGTTTATGCAGAAATAAATAATTATTAATGCAGTGTGGTTACATCACTGGAGAATGAGATGAATGAATCAAGTTACTGCAGTGATTTTACATAAACTGTTCAGTGGTAATGGTTACAGCTCTTTTGGTTGCAGCACAAACTCTGTGTCATTCCCTGTGTGCCAGCTTTCCCTTGAAAGTAATTGGGCGATTTTAGAAGATGCATCTAAATTTTGGACAAGTTACTAAGGTCAAATTTGATTTATTATCTCCATCCTTAAACCAGTTGGTTTCTGATATAAAGAATGTTTCTAGCAATAAGTCAATATGTGTTTGTTGAATTGTGTTGCATTTTATCAGGTGCTGTTTCTAAAGGGAGGTGGGCTTTCTGGTTGCTCTGAAGAGTTTTGTGTACTGTGTCTTTATTTTTCTCTTTCTGTACTGAAAAAGTCCCATTTCCTTTAGTTTTGTGGGGTGGGAGGAAGGTGTCTTTGCGGTGTCCATGCCATGCTATTATAGTTTGAAGGGAAGAACCTGCCCATTTGTCATGGCAAAACACCTGTATGATTTAGAAGTGGAAATTCCTAATAATTCTGAGATGATTGTTTCAGCTTTCACCCTTCAGAAAGAAAATCTAGAAACACTAGAAGCAATCGGCTTTTTGGCTGCTGAACTTGGTGTGCTTCCTTCAGACTTCAGTTACACTGGCATCAAAGACAAGAAGGCTATCACTTATCAATCGATGGTGGTGAAAAAGGTGACTCCTGAGAGGTACATACAATCCATATGCATTCAGTTTAGCACATCTTTTTATATGATAATAAGTATCAGCCTGGTACAATCTTCTGAAATGTTCTTATAGATGTGTCTTCCTTTTTTCAGTATTAGAGCACAGTAGAAATGGCTTTAATATTTGGTGGCTTTAGGGAATGTACAGTTTACAGCTGAAGTTCCCCAGTGTTGGAATTTAAAGAAAAATCTTGTCTTTCTCCGTATTTTTCATGATACAAGTGTACTATGTCTTCTGCAACACTATCCTTCCAGTGCCTGCTCATGGGATCCATTTTACAATTTCTTAAATTGAAATTTACAATTTCTTAAATACTGTCCACTAGCTGGAACTGTGAAGAAGCCTATACAAACAAGCCTATACTACCTAACAAAACATGTTTCCACATAGTGTCAAAGTATTGACTTGTGGTCCCCAGACAACAACTTAAAAGCTTTATACAGCTACAAAACTGAAGTAAATAATTACAAATATACTTGGGACAGATGCTGTCTTTGAGTGTTAAGTATCAACTTCTATTGTATTGTTCAGTCTAGAAACATGAGACAAAGTACAGAAGTTATCACCGAACCTGGGGGCAGAAAATACACTCTGAATAATGCGTCAATAATACAAGATGTGCCTTTCCATTCTTTGTTTTTGTTACTCTCTGTAGCCAATTTGGTGGGTAAAGATTATATATTAAGTTCTGTCATAGTAACAGTAAAAACTTGCTGGGGTCAAAACTGTAACTTCTTCTTCAGCTTGTAACTTTCTAGTGGGTTTTGGTCTTAGCAACAAAATACACTTTACAAATAAAGGAAAGTAGAATTTATGTTTTTAGGATTTATAACTAACATAACTATCTAACAATAGTAAAATTCCACTGCAAGCTGGGCTGCGAGGCCAGTTGTTCAAGAGATAATCATGAAAACTTTGCATTAATGTTTAAAAGATTAAGCAAAATAGTTAGATGCTTCCAAGCCACTAGCATAACAGGGAAAATAAATAATTTTTATAAATAAATCATTTATAAAGTTATTAAAATATTGGTTAGAATGTAAGTTCTTATGCTGAAAGTTGCCTTTGATTTGAATGACTGTTACTTACACATAAGAACAAAGAGATTGAGTGGATACTTTAAAGGCCAAATACTTGAACTGTCAGCTGTATTTCCAATTACAAGCATGTGCAAGCATACCCAGAGAATCAGGGCGCTGAGTTTGTTTTTGTTAAGGCTGACCAAGAAGGAGCAATTGTGTTTTGGAATCTGCTAATGCACATTACTTTTTCTTTCTTTCTTTCTTTTTTTTTTTAATGAAAAGCAGATTTTTAGGACAGTAAGAGTAAGTTACTTGTTTTTCAATAAAAAATGCAAAATTCAATGCAGTTGCCTTGAGAAAGTTCAATGAATTGCTTCATTCTAGTATCTGTTGAGCTACAGAATATAAGTGCAAATGAAGCAAACATTTAGAAAGTATTTCTGGACTATAACTAATTTTTAAGACTTCTATCTCTGCATTTGATTTGGTTTTCTCATAATAATCTATTTTAAATCCTTTTATTGTTTTAAGTGTTTTTAATTCTAGTGCAAACGTGAAGAAGACATTTATTAGAAGTTGGATAGCTTTAGTAGAGGATGGTTCATAATTTCTCCCAATTATTTATGCAGGTTGAAAGAAATTGGAAGCAAAATGGAAAAAAAGGGCATGAGGATACACAACATACATTCAGCGTGCCAGCACCTTCGGCTTGGTCAGCTGAAGGGCAATCACTTTGATATAGTTGTGAGAGATCTCAAACACCATCGTGATGACTCTTCTGCAGATTTGAAAGAGAGAATATCTGAAGCAATGGAAAATGTTGAGGTAAAAAAACTCTTAAAGAAATTGCTTGTAATAGCACAATAATGTCCCAATTTCCCAGTTTTTATGCTTTTTGCTATTTTGTGTCTTTCCTGCATTACTTAAGGAATCTCAGGAATAAAGCTTCCTTCCACGGAGGGACCACAAGTGAGTTCATTCTGTGTTACAGAGTGCAGACCCCAGAGGGGTGCAGCAAGACATTTGGTAGCAAATGAGTATGGATATATGAGCTGCTGCTTCACAGACCTAAGGCCAACCGAAGTGATGCGTTTCACTGTGGCAATTGACAGTGGGAAAGAATATAGTTACACGTATCAACTGGTTGCCTTTTTTGGTGACATGAGGAACATGCATGGTCAGCTCAGATGTCAAGTATCTGTAGCAGAGAAAGAAGATCCTCAAAATTTGGTGGATTTTGATTGCAGTTATCCTTAGTCCCTGAAGAAAACCCCATCATCAGACATTCTTAAACCAATGAGAAAAGTAGAAGAAAATCATGGAAAAGAAAAACTTATGTGTTTTGTACAGAAGTAGTTTTCTTGCCCTACCTTTCTAAATAATAGCAATAATACAAATTACTTTAAGAAGGAATAAAGACTTGAATGAAAACTACCCAGTGTGCAAAAGCAAAATACATTACATGTACTATAGAAATTTTTTTAAATCAATTTTATGATCGAAAAAAGCATTCAACTTTAGTACTGCAGTGCTTTTTTCTCTCTCTGCTTCATCTAACTTTTTTTTTTGTTTTGCTATTTGGAAAATTAACACAAATTCCTAGGACGTGTGTCTTGCTTTATTAGATTTAGCTTACTGGTCAGATGATGAATGACAAAAATAGCATGTGTGTTAATCCAAAATACTGATTTTTCATCTGCCATGAACACAAAATCGCACATGGGAACTAAGGATGTCCAAAGCAAGGTTATATCATTTGAACTGAATAATCATTTCCAAAACAAATACTGTATGTTTTTTGCTTGTCTACTGCATGCATACTTATTATTTTCCAGAAAAGGATGTTCTCATTGGGTCACATGACTGTGATTTTACTTCCCACATGTGACCTAGGACTCACTAGGAGACTTAAAATCCCAATTAACAGAAGTGCTCACTCTTGGTCTGTACTGTTACAATAACAATACAAATGATCTCATGTGAAAAAGGATTAGTATTTATTAGAAAAAATGTTCAACAGTGGTTAGTGTTCATTACCTGTGCTATGCTGTATTTGCTTGAGTAGAGATTTCATAATTTGGCACATATAAAAAGCTCAATTACTTTGACTTGACCTGTTGTTGTATTTATAAAAATTAACTAAATAGAAATAATTTTGTTTCCTTTACCTATTTTTTATGGAAGTGAAGACAATGATAGAACTTGGTTGTCTTTTTAGATGTCTATAAATTAGATGCTAAAATATTGTAATGAATCATGTTATGATTTTTTTATGTATTATTTCTGATTAAACAACTAATTTGTATGCATTTTGGATGTAAATGTACTGTGTTGTGTGCTAGTCTTACTAATTGTACGTGGTACTTTCATGTTTTTAACATATTTATTCTTTACCATTCTAGACAAAAGGTTTTGTAAATTACTACGGACCTCAGCGATTTGGACAAGGACAAAATGTTCAGACAGATCAAATAGGATTGGCTTTACTGAATGAAAAAATGGTATTTTAATTTTATAATTTAAGTCGTTACTGTCAAGTTGATTTCACATAACTGTTGCAATGTCTGGTGCTAGTGCTGACCTTCCCAGTGAACAATTTCATCTGTGAGATAAACCCATATGTGTGCTGGAAGTAATTGCTAGATCAGTTTTGACAACAACATGAGCATGAAGATCTCCATATTGAAACAAAAAAATCTTTTTTTAAAACAGCAGGTGCAGATTTAAATAGTTCAGGAAGTGATTTTTCTGTCTATGATTGGTATGTGATTGTGATGGTCATCACACGGCTTGGCAGGAAAGTGGCTGCATTCCACACAAGATTTGAACACTAAAATGAAGCAATCTTTTTACAATGTTTACGCATGGTCCTGATTGCCTCCTAACTTGTAGCCTCTTTATCCTGCTGGGGGTCCGTACATTTCTTCAAAATGTCACAAGATATTACATGGGATCATATGAAAGGATTTGCTTTTTCAATAGCACAGTAATTTATCTGCTATATAGAAGAGATTGCTGCTTTCCATTATTCCTTGGCTACTTTCCCAAAGTCTTAGTTCTGAGTGATTTCTCTCCTGTAAGCTAAGGAGACCTTATTTCTTAAGTAATAATTTTTAAGATAAGAGTAATACTTTTCAGTGTATACGGTATGATACTTGGCACAGGTCTAAAACAGAATCAGACACTACAAAGTCAAATGAATACTTGAGTATCCTTTTCTTCTAATCTTGTCTTGATTCTGAGAAAAGTCATGAAAACTTATCCTCCAAATATAAGAAGAATCAAGATTTGAGGGCAGCTCATAAAAGTTACCGTTGATGTATCTGACATTTTGAATTCTAGTATACTAGCAGTTAGTACACTAACCAGGTGCCAGTTCCTGAAGAGTAATGATTTACATCTCTAGTCTTAACTCAGGTACTTTTTAATTTAAAACATGTGGGAACTACTATTTTTATTAAAAATATGCCAGTTTGTCCTTGCACAATTCAATACAGAGAGTGACAAGAACCAGATGTCATAGGTTGGTATAAGCACTAGTAAATTGTGTGGCTCTACTGGTGTTGCAAGTAGCAGAGATTAGTGCAGTATTTTCCTTGTCACAGTATCATCTAACCTAATGCAGATCAGTATTAAAAAAAAAAAAAGACTGTTGTCCCTCTTTGTGGAAAATGTTCAGTCTAAATTTTGCATGAAACATGTAAAAGGGAAAGAAAGAATCTTTCTGTAGATAGGGATAGAACAATGACATGACAAAGTGGAGGAGTTCTAATGGGTGTTCAAGAAGAGTGACTGATGTCTCATGGAGCTTTGAAAGCTGTCTCGTGTCTCCTGTGTGACTAAAACCTTTCTTTAATCTGAGAAGGAACACAACTGCATTGATTTGCTGTTCATGCCATCTTCTGTGAAAGGTAAAATTTAACCTTAAAGAACTGATACAGTTTTGAGAGTTTACAGAATACATTAACATAGAATTGAATGCATGATTGTCTTAGTTGACAAATAGTTACATTTAAATGCAAAAAAAAAAATTATTAATATTGTTTTTTTAAAGGTGAAAGCTGTGAAGTTATTCTTCACACCTGAAGATACTGATGACCCTGTAAACAATGCAAAAAGATACTTTCTTCAAACTGGTATGAACAGTTAAATAGCTTGTATATTTTTTCAGGTTCAATACTATTAGGCAATAAGGTGTTGCTGGACAAAGAGATAACTTTTATTTTGCTGCTGCTTTATACCACTTAGTAACTTATTCTGAAGGACTCACTAGAGTTGCATTGTTAAAAATTAGATGAGGATGAGGCCCTAAATGTGCAAAATAGTGGAAAACTAAGGTGCTTCAGGTGCAAGACAGTATTGAAAGAAACTCTGTGTAGCATAATGCTGCAAAATACTGAGATAATTTTATCAAAGCAGTTTTAGCTTCCTTCCATCTGTCTGCTTTTGGAATATAAACTTCTCCTTCCTAATAAAGGAAGTATACAGGAATGATACACCCAGCTAATCCCCAGCATTTACCATGTGTGGGCATCTCATTTTCTGAGTTTTGTCTAAGAATCTTAGCACTTGATTTTTTCACCTTTGAACTTTGCTTTTACATCTCTTTAATTATGTATCTCTTCCATACTTTCCTGTGATCTACGTCTCTGTCTTGAACTAAAATCAACAAAATACGTCAAAGGCAAAAGTAAAATGCTATGTCACATTTATTGTTTTTATCATTCAACTTAACTTTCTCTCCAGAACTAAAAATTTGGAGTTACTCTCAACTTCAAATATATTTGTTGTTCTCAAGTGTTCCACATCTATTAGGTTCCTTGTCACTGTAGATTGACAGAACAACTATGGTATATAGCTTCAGGAAACATAGATGTGTTGCATTTCACAAAAGGAGTTATGACTGTTCATTCTGTGCCGTACATTGCTGTATGGTGCATGGAAAGACATTGATGTGGACTCTAAAAACAGCTACTTCCCTTTTCCTGAAAGCAAAATGTAAAAGGCTATGCCAAAGGCTTCATCAGATAATCACTTGTAATGAGAAAGTATGGAAACCATAAATTTTTAAATATACAACATTTACATAATGTAGTACAATTCTGATTAAATATATTTGCATCTTGCTTGAGGCTCAGACTTCCCAGTGGCCAATGCAAACTGTACCTTTAAAATAAAGACATGTTTTTATCCCCATGTTCTCAAATGCTGTAAAGTAGATGTTTAATGTTCTTTTATAGCGTGGTTTTTACTTTCAGTTACCTGAAGAATAAAACTTTGGAGGGATGAAGTAAGTTTCAAAAAAAAAAATAAACTAGGCTGAATAAGTGAATGACCTCTAGTTTAGTTTATACTGCATTAAATAGAATTTATGGGACTGTGTTGATAGGCATCTAAGATGGAAGTTTGTCTAACATGACACATTGAAAGAAAGGGAATAATAACCATAAAGTCAGCGTAAAGATGTTAGATTGACACTATTTCTCCTTACCTGATTATTTCATCTTAAGTGTATTTTTTCCTGACTGTTAATATTTGAAGAATCAGGGATTGCTTATATGGTTATTTTTGTTTATATCAGAAGATGCAAAGGGTGCACTTGCGATGCTGCCAGAATTTAAAGTGAGAGAGAAGATGTTGCTCCGAGCTTTAAATCGCTACGGTGTAAATCATGACGGTTGTACCAAAGGATGGCTCAGTATTCCTCATTCCATGCGCATATTCTATGTCCATGCTTATTGCAGTAAAATTTGGAATGAAGCAGCATCATATAGACTGAAGATCTATGGCTCAAAAGTTGTTGAGGGTGATCTTGTCTTCTCAGAAGAAAATAATGAAAGTGTTTCCCTGAATGACAAGGTGAGTCTTCACAAAATAGTTCTTGTAAAAAAAACACTTAATGCACTTGAGTACATACTCAGACATACTCGAATGCTTTTGCTTTCGTTTATTCCTTAATATTAGTGACAAAGATTAAAACAGTGATGTAGCTTTTTTTGATTTACCATAAATAGATGTATAAGCTAGATGTATATTAGATCTTTTATCTGTTCAAAGTTATCATTTTATTTGAGTGAGAAGAGTATTGAGTAACTGAGTTTAATATAGAGATATTCCTATTCAATATAAACCCTTTTTCTCAGTATTTTTGCTCTTGCTGATGTAGCACAAGATTGCATTGGCACAGTGAACTTCAGACACAAAAAACCTGAGTTTGTAGTGATAGTTTGCTAATTAGTGGTGGGTAGCATCAGTAAATAGTTAATGCAATGCCATTTACCAGGAAACAGATTACTTTATATTAAGTATTTCTACTGTTTTTCATACCTGGAATAGATAATTGTCCTTCTAGCAGTCAAATAGCCTTAGAATCCTTTACAAGTTTGGGAGTACAACACATATTTTCTAAAATAAAGTGTATGTCTTATTTTTAAAAAAGTTATTTCTCTTAACTTCTCTAAATGTCTTGCCAGGTTCGTGTAGTCACTGCTCCAGAGGAGTCAGCTAACAAATACTCTATAAACCAAGTAAGTCTGTCTGAGAAATTCTGAGTTGTTGATCTCTTTAATTGATTACAATATTTTGTTTTAAAAATAAGGTGATTAAGTTAGCTGGTGCAGTCTTCTTCATTGCCAGAATGCACATTAAAGAAAAGACATGTGAACTAATCTCCACTCTCATAAAAAAACAGGAGGAAAGAATATTTACTTTGTAATGGAAATAAGTCATTTGTGTTTTTTGAAGTATGGCAATATTTATCTTGAAGCTCAATGTAAATACTTTGAAAATTTTTTCAGTCTACTGGGAAAAACAGTCAAGAGCTGTTGACGTTCTTATTTTTGAAGATTCAGAATGTGTAGTTGTGAAGCCTTACATAGGCAACTTAATGTCTTTATCTCTGTATCTTTCCAAGAAAGGAAATTCATGTTAGTATATTTCTAGTTTGTTTTAGGAATCCTGATACATTGATTATTTTTTCTGCTTTAATTACATCCAAGATACCTGCCTTGCACAGCTTTATTTCATGAGAAAAGTTGTTGTTTTAATATTTCAGGTCCCAAAACACAAGATTTGGACACATTTAAAATCACATTCATTTAAAGAGGAATTGGTGGGCTTTATTTCAAATGTTTGTTGTTCTGCTTTTATCTTTGAAGGTGGTTCTTCCAATGGTGGGACATAGTATCAAGTATCCCAGTAATAAAGTTGGACAATGGTATCATGAAAGGCTTTCTAAGGATGAGCTGCAGATGTGCAAATTCAGAGTGTCTCCATTACAGCTGAATATACCTGGATGCTACAGACCCATTGTGAAAAATGTTCAGAACCTGTCATATTTTTTGGAAGGTAGTGAAAAAGGAATTGAAATTGCAGACAACCATCTGAATGAATCAAAAGTTTCTCTTCATATATCATTTGACCTTGATCCTTCATGTTATGCAACAGTCTGTCTGAGAGAAATCATGAAATGTGACTTTTAAGCTTCCAGTTAATGAAAGATTGCGGGAATGTTATACAATGATGGTATTTTATGTATAATGCCAAGGAGATAAGGGAGAATAACAGGTTCAAGCGAGAAACAGGAAAAATTTGTAGAGGAAGAAAAACCACCAAACCCCTTTGGAACAATGCAAACCCTTGGATGCGTTTGAATAAAGCTATATATCATGGCAGGCAGGTTTAACAGAACTTAAAGAAGCCATGGGCTGCAAGCATGGATTTCATATTTGCATAGGCATCTGACTTGCAAAGTTAAATCCTGGAAAAATGTTTGCAGCAAACACATGTATTTTTTATTTCATAAAAATTAAACAAACAAAAAAAAGTTTTATACTAAATGCTGTTCAAGCAATACCGTTACGAGTTTGCAGCCTGCAAGTATCTAACTGAAAAATTGTTCTACTGAGGGTCACTAAATGTATTGTGTTTTTATTGTGTTCAGGCACCAAATGTTAATGACTCACCCTGAGTCAACAGTGACAGCTCATCTGATACTTTCTCAGACATTTGATGAATCCCCCAACTGAAGTTAGTGCTAAGGATTCCAGGATTAAGTAGTGCATAGCTGTTAGTCAGTGCCTATTCAAGTAAGCTCATCAAGACAAGGTGAGTAATTAACGTAATTGCAAAACCATTTATAATAAAACCAAACACCTGTTTTATTGTTTACAGAATGCAGACTTTATCCCTGTTACTGTAAAGCCTTATGGTGGCAAAAAAAATGTTAACAGAACCATCCCTGGAAAAAAGCTTTTATATTTTTTTCTTAATTAAAAAAACCACAAACAACAAAACAGTTAACTGTGATAAAATGAGAGGATTTGTGGAAAAGGGGAGAGCAGAAAATGTAATTTACCTTGACTTTAGCAAGACTTTTGACACTGCGCCACAATATTCTTGAAACCAAGTTATGACATTATGGTCTGGATGGGTGGACAACCAGATGGGTAAAAAAGTAAATGGATGAGGCTCAGAGGGTAGTGGTGAATGGGTCATACCCTACCTGGAATGAGTACAACTGGAGCTTCTCCTGGCACCCATCCTGTTTAATGTCTTTGTCAGTCACCTGGCAGAGGGGATGGAGTTCACCCTCTTCAAATTTGCAGATGATACCAAATTAAGGGAACAAATGGGTACTCTGGAGAATCAGGCAGCTGTTCAGGGCAACCTAGATATGCTGGAGGAACAGGCCAGCAGGAACCTTATGACATTCAGCAAAGTGCTACCCCTGGGAAGTAAGCACCCCTGCAAGAGCCCAGGCTGGGGAACAGATCTGGGGCAATGGCCCTGGTGTCCCAGTGGGCAGCTGAAGGTGGGCCAGCCGTGTGCCTTGGCAGCAAGGATGACCAGCAGCCCCTGGGATATGTTAGCAAGGACACAGATCAAGGGAAGGGATTATATCACATTTTTCAGCACTTATTAGACTACATTTAACTTCTACGCCCAGTTTTGATCTCCAGCACAAAAAAGACATCAAAAAACTGGAGCAAGTTCAGTGAAGAGTCTGCAGACTATTTCAAGACTGGAGCACTTGCCATTTGGGGAAAGGCTGAAGGATCTGGGCTTCTTCCAGCTGGAGAAGAGATGGCTTGAAGGGGAACTTACAGCAACTCTCCAGTACCTTTGAGGAGGTTAGCAAGAGGATGGAGCCAGGATCTTCATAGTGGAGCAATGGCAGGAGAACAAGAGACAATATGCATAAATTGAAATGTGAGGTTCAGAGTGGTTAAAAGAAAATACTTTCCTCCCGTGAGGGCAGTCAGGCAGTGGAACAGGCTGTCCAGAGGCTGTGCAGTCTTTATATCCCAATGGGACAAAGCTCTGAGCAACCTGATCTGAGCTTACAGGAAACCCTGTTTTATGGAGGCAACTGGGCAAGAGATGAGAGATCTCTTCCAACCTGGATTACTCTGTTATCCTAAAGAGAGTATTGCAAGTGTTTAGTCAATCTGTAGATGGCAGTATGACTTAAAACTAAAATGGAGAGCTCTACTCATTTTTACTGAGAGAATTAATAATAGAAATAGGATTCTGTTTATGGCATCAGTCTTTCAGTTGTTGCTAACAGCTGAGCAAGATAAATCTCCCAAGGCTGGTGAACAGATCTAGAATTATAGGAGTAGGGAAAATAGAAATATAATTCACGTGATTTCAATGCTTGTATAAAACTGTGTGGCAATGAAGGATCCAGATAATTCGCTGCCTTAAATAAGAGGATTACTCTGTAAATCCGTATAAGTAATTCAAAATTTGACCCTTAGCTTTTATATGGGAAAATAGACTGTCATACAAACAATAGCTACAGAGCCACTGTAGACCACTTGCAATGTTTGCTCTATTACAGCGCTTACTCTACAACTCAAGTTTATGGTATGCAGTCAAACTGATTGAAAAATCCATTTCCCTGCCACGACCCATCTGAGACAGCTTTGTTCCTGTCTTTGCTTTTCAGTATCACCTCTTCTGTCTTCCACCTGCAGTTAAAAATACCCCTCTTCTGGAAAATTATTTTTAACTCAAGTCATTTTGGTACAGCACAGCTCAAAGAAAGTTGTCCTGTCACCACTGACATGGTAAAGTGCCCCAGTGCAGACAGGAAGCTGCATGCAGTTACAATGACCAGAAGAAATAAATTAGCACTGAAGTTCCATTTAAAGAGACTATTGTGGTAGCCTTCGATGTGGCTCAAAACAGCCTTGAAAACCATCTAATCACATACAAGATTTGAATACGTAAGGTATTAAAAGTTGTGCCTTGATTTGGAAAAAACACAAAAGGTCAGATTAAAAGGTTTTTGACGGAAAGGCATGCTATTTTAAAAGAAAAGATCAGAAGACGGTGTTAAAAGAGTTCCCCTATAATCATTTTAGGCTCATTTGTCAGCACTTCTATTGAACACTAAAAGGACTAATCTTCTTAAGCAAATCATTCTTTCAGCAACTTTAAGGTGAAAGAGCTAATTATGTGTGTCCATGGGTTAAATTCCTATAGTAGAAATGTTCTACCAGGGAAAAGTCAGATTAGCTATTAGAGTGTTTACATGGTAAACATCCTTCTTATTTCTGTGGGCATTTATTTTTAATTAATTTTCTTAATTTTAGCAGCTATTTTGCAGGATTATGTATATGAACAGTTGAATTCAGAGCATTTTATACGACTGCAACACTCAGCTCCATAAGTATAATCTGTATAAGCAAAACAACTGTGCCCCCACATTGAGAAAAGAAAATCATTGTGCACTGATCTGAGTTTAAGGAAAAGATTGATGTGGTAGTCATCTCTGATCTTACTAAGTACTTCTGTTGCTACCATCCTTTTCTGATGAGCCTTAAAGCACTTTGCTAATACTAAAGAAGACAGGTCTCTGATTCTGTTTCTAACAAACAAAAGGGGTCTTTTGTTCAATGGCCAGTTGATTTTTTTTCAACAACAGATGATAGATAATTGGGTATTTGAATGGAGAAATGCAAATGTTCTTAATCTGTGAAATCCTGTTACTTTTAATTCATTACAAATTTGACAACTAGTATTAACCTCAGTGAGAATGTACAAATTTTCAGATCTTTCAGAATGAGATGGCTTAAAATTACATACCTAGCATAAAGGCAGTTCAGAAGCCAGGTATATATGTGATTACTGGCCCAGCTCACTCATTGAAGCTCCATTAACTCCTCTCTTAGTGCCTGTCAGCTGGTGATTTGACCTCTTACACCCAGCTGATGAGCACAAACTTCTTTTCCTTTCTCTTGCAGAACTTCTGTCCATAATAAAGCTCAAGAGAACAAGCTGAGAAACTGTTAATGCTTTCCTGTCTCTCAGTCTGCAGTCAAACCTTGCCACCCATTGGTTCAGATCTAGATTCCTTTTAGAGGAAATGAAGCCAGAATGTGAGCTCCAGCTGCATGCTAAGCACATTCTGCATCCCAATGGAGAAACAGGGATCCAAATGAGAGGTGGGTCATTTGGACAGCTTCAAACCCTATACAGGGGTGCGTTCTGTTGTGGAGCCCAGACAACACTTAGCTCAGTGTAAAATCACTGAACCACAATTTCTTCCTCTCTAGAGTGATGTTTTCACCCTGGAGTCAGGTGAAAGCTCATTATTTCATGTGTGAAATTGGGGTTTGTTTTGTCTGTGAGTCATTTTGTGTCTTACACTCCAAAACTGTCTACATCTGCTGTTGTATGCCCCTGTCATTAGCATCATAAGGATTTTCTGCAGTTCTTCACACTCTACCCTTATCTTTGCTACCCTGAGTAAGTCCATACCATCATCAGTCTCAGTCACCTCTGTGCTCCACCTCTTAATGCACGCACTGAACAGCATTCCAGGGCCCCCTTTATGCAGTGGCTGTTTAAAGGTGCTTCGTGATGGACTTTGTCAAGTGCCTTCTGGGAGCTCAAGTGCACCGTCTCCACTGCAGCAGGCATTTCCATGCAGCTCTTAACCTCTTCACAGAGCTCCAAGGAGGCAGTAAGGCAATGCCTTAGAGAAGCCACATCAGCTCTTCCCCAGTAGATCATAATTCTTAAGTGTTCACTGCTTCTATCCTGTAATAGATTTACCCACTACAGTTCTTTGGCTTATAGGCTTCCACCTCCTCTCAGTTTTTCATCCCCTTTATACAGTATATAGTTTACAGTTACATAAGTAAATAGCTTAGATATCCACTATATATGAGCAGAAATGTGAATGTATATATCATCATAGCCTGTTAACCACAGTTATAGCCTGCAAAAGCAACTGTTAATGAAGGTATTGCTCAAAGTGTGACATTTTCAAATGAAAGTAAGAGAAAGACTTTCTCGGAATTTGAATATGGAAGACAAAAGGTCAACTCCTAGTTCAGGTGGAAAAGACTTTGAGTCCGTGCTATAGTCACCAGATTATTCTACAAGAGACCAACTCAGCTGTATGCCCATGCACAGGGTTTCCAGCCCTAGTGCTGAGATACAGAAAAGATTGTCCCTAATGAGAATCTTGTCTTCTGAGTATCAGAGGTTTGGGATGGGAAAACAGACATATTTAGTTCCGTTCCTGTGTGCCCAGCAGCAGAAATGAGCTAGTGAAGGAATTCAGACTCCTCAGGGATTTGCACATGCTAAGTAGGACATTTGGGAATGTTGCTAATACCTAACCACTGCTGAGAACCCAGGCCTTAGAGGCAACATTTCATAGAAATTTAAACTAAGCACTTAAATGTCACTTCTCAAAGTTTGGGCTATAAGTTTGGATTTAACTACATCAGTTAAGGATGCTTTTTTTTTTTTAATCCTAAATTTATACTTAAAGGTCTGATACAACATGCCAAAACTTGTGGAATTGCCCCCTGGAGCAATGCACACACTCCCCTTCCTTCCTCAGCACAGGTTAAATGACTGGGGAAGGCGATACCTACTTCCACCCTAACCTGTCAGTGGATGCATCAGAAGCTGTGTAAAGCCAGGCACTTGTGGTCAAGTCATCTAGCATCTTCCCTGGGGTACATAGCCCAGCTGACAGCCATCCCACCAATGCAGCTAAAAAGATATGGGTGTGGGTTTCTTTTCCTGTGGGAAAGCAGTTTCAGGAAGGAGGCATGGAGCCCTGCTACTAGGAGTGAGAATGTGCTTTGGATTCCGTGCTGAATCTGTCCACAGCCCTGACTGGTCCTGACCCTCCTCAGGCTGGGTGTCCCCCTGTGCTGCCCGTGGCCACCCCAGGGAAGTGGCTGGATGCCTGGGGAGGTGGCCCTGGCTCCCAGC